TTGTAACGCCGGACGAGAATTGCACTCCGCAAACGGAAATCCTAACTACAAGAAGAGAGAAAAGTTAATCGATCGATGATCGCACGCGAAATTGTTCGTCGTAAAGGCGAATAACGGTCTGTGTGACGAAACTTGCGCGTTGTGCCATGCGATGAATTTCTTACGAAAGAGGGAGGGAGAGGGAGGCAGAGAGAGAGAGAGAGAGAGAGAGAGAGAACAGAATAATAAATTGCGACTTGCACGACGCGTGAAACAGAAACAAGCACAGGCATAACAGAGAACATGCTCCGCGCTCTCGTATACTTTCCATTTTCCCCAATCGAAACACGGAATGTTAACTCTTGTTTTTTTGTTTCGTTCGTTTTCGCTTGATATCTAAATTCATACGGGCATTTTAACAATAGAACCGCGAGAGCCTGAAGTTGCCGTGGGCGCAACATCGCGCCACATTGAAATACTCTAGCTTTTCATCAGCAAATTTCATATCGAGATGAAAAACTGTTTTTCAGATCAAGAAAATAAACTAAAGCGCCGCGAGCAAAATAGATTTTGGCCCGGATTTGTTCCTCGAGGCGACATGGACGATATTGATCAATAAGTAACTACGCCGACATGAAATAAATTTACAACGCGAAATACCTTATAGTCGACCGCTTGAGAACTCGGTTTCCGCAAAAGCTTTATAAGCAAGCGACATCTGATAGTTGGAGGAGAAACTTATTTCTCGTTACCCGATATACACCGCGCGCCGCGAGAGAATTCCTTTTTACAGCGTTCGCGTTAATGAACTACAGATTAAGGAATGTCGCGCTTTTGTATCTCCGAGGACCTTTCGCAGTCACATATCACGTCGACATCCACGGGCGGATATCGTCAAATTTGATCGAGCGAAAAGTCAATCGAATTACTTCGTATCGATGAATCGAGAATCATCTCTATATCGCGACCGTTTCATCCTGCAAATTGAGTCTGCTTTTTCGGAAGCAAAAAGAGACCGAGATAGAAAGAACGGCCGGTTTGTCCGCGATTTCAAAACTTCTGTCGTAGCCGCCGACTGTTTTCAGCCAGGCAAAAAATATACTCGCGTTCAAAAGGCGAAATTAAAATCTACGCAAAAGTACAGCGGTGTCCAATAAACGATACAAACCTTTTCGTCCAACGTGTCCCGTCGCGTACTCTCTTACCGTCCCTTCCATTTACCGATTCTTTAATCACGGCGAAACCAATACTTCTTTGATAAAAACTTTTTTCCACAGATTTCCCACTTTTTAATATCAGACATATTATCCGTAACCGAGGCTCTTTGATCAAAATTTTCTCAAAACGGAGAGAACTGCGCGGATATATCCAATTATAAAATGCAATTTTACAATATAATTAAACGCCCGTAGACAGAAGGTTTTGTTTATTTTATAAATTGTTTTATTATTTTCAAGTTGTATTTTCATTCAGCGGTGGACGGTACGGTAATGGGACATGAGGATATAGCTGTAACTGTTACATGACAATTGATATTTAGAACTAATATCGCAATTAATATTCATATTGATGATATAATTGCCGCAATATTATAAATTATTCATCGAGCGACAACGATCAACGATAAAATTCATTCTATGGAATATTGCGCGGTGCACATTGAAGAATATATATTGTTGCGAATGACGAAGCCTTAACGAGATAAATGGTAATCATGTGAGTGAAATTATCAAACAGTTCTCAGGACACATCGAAAACACTCAGCAGTATAAATAGATTTCAAACAACATTTCTCATCGATTGAGCTAATCAATGTGTTTATATCGCTCCTAAAATTAGCTCGCAGCTAAAATTAGCATTGTCTCTCAGCAAATTGTACGATATAAATACATCTTTCAAATCTCACATCGTAAACATCGCCAACGTGATTCGCGTTAAGCGAGGATGGAGACTAAAACAAAAAAAAAAGAGAAAGATAACAATGCAACGTACAGATTGACGATTCTACAAAATTGCTTTCAAACGCCAGTAACGAACGCGAGCAGTCGCTCCGAAATGAGGCCGACAGTTCGCAAAACGCGCGACGCGCGAGCTGTGTTAAGGGTCAGCGCGCGAGACATCCCGCAGCAGCACGTGTCTGCTCCGAAAACACGTGTTTCCCCCTCCTCCTGGCGCGCATGGAAACACTCTCGCTGCAGTCTACCTTTCGCCGGTGCAAGATCATGACGGACGGAGTGCGCGCAAGTGAGAATAGACGCGCGCGTTGCGATAAACGCCACCGTGTTTCACCGTGCGGCGATTTCGCGCCAGGAAAACCGCGTGCAGCCGCGTGGAATTTCGCCGTGGAATTCCACGCCGTGGAATGAGAACGAGAATGAGAAACAGCGCTCGCAGCGATGCAGCACGCGACTGATATCGCAGATCGCTATCGACATCGAGACACTGCGGAATATCCAGGAAGATGCGCTTAAGACCAGGGAGAAACGCGCATTTAAACGCCCGGCAGCCGACGTCACGCGGCCAATCGTGTGGAGGTGCGCGCAGTCGAGGTCGTTGGCACGCAATGCGCGCGAGTGAGACAGAAGGAACACGTGCGACGAATTGACAGGAGCCGATGCTCCTCCGCTCGCGCTTGCTCCAGCGTCTCTCCGCGACCAGGCAAAAACTTCAGCAGCGAAGAAAGACGACGGAAACGCTGTCGCATGGGCATCGAGAAATATCGAGGAACTCGGAAACAAACCGGAGAGACAGGACGGCCAAACGTCGTCTCCGCGAAACGCGTCGCTCGACGCGTTCCTGCTGCGCCGCGCAAAAGAAGGTGAATGAACGACGGGGAGAGCGAGTGAGAAGAGCGATGAGAGGTTAGAATCGCGCGCCCTTCGCGGCAGGTCACTTACCTCGTGCGCTCGCGGATGCTGGTGGTCGCAGTGACGGTGCTCGAACATTCCATCCACGAGATTCACAGCGCACATCGCGAGCAGAACGGCGAGTGACGACACGCCGGTGGTGCAGCAGCGGCGGCGCGGCATCTTCAACCGCACTCGGGCCGCCATCACAGACGACGCTTGCACTCGCAATGCATGACACATACTGAGCGCGCCCGCCGACGCCGCGCATTTATATACCCGGCGCAGCAGGCAGCGCCGCGCTGCTCACGTTCGATACCTCGAGGAGCGCGGCAGAGGCGGCACTCCGACGTCGACGACGACAACGACGACGACGACGACGACGACGACGGCGACGCTGTCGCTGGGATAAACCCCTCGTGAGGAACCTGCGAAGAAACCGAAGGACCGTTGTAGGAGAGGTGTTGTGCTGAAGCCAAGCAGCTTAAATTTAATACTAAGCCGAATATTTTGGCTCGGCCGAGTCGTGAGCGAATCAAAAAACACGAGAGGCAGCTTATCACGGTGAGTCTACCGTAAAGAAATCTTAACAAAACGTTTGCCGCTGTTAGTGAGAAATTAGAGAGTCAATGATATGTATGAACGTTATGTCATTGCAACACAGAACAAATAATCTCGCGATGTGAAAGCGAGGAGAATCTCGCGAAAGATCTTACTTCATATCTTTGTTCTAAAAAATACTGTTATCTCTCTTTGTATTTTTATGATCTAAAGAGATCACAAATCACATATTTCCACATATGCTATCAATAGCATTTGATATTTGATTTGCCTGGAGATGCGCATAAAACCGGTCGAAAACAAGATCTGATAACGTTCGAGATTCATTCAAATCTCGAAAATGATGTGCAAATTATAGGACAAACTTTACGACATTCACGATATATCAGCTAGTAATTCGCATGATGAAAATGAGTAATTGACAAATATACTAAAACTTGGTTGATTAAAGAATCTACTATGAACTTAGAAAGCAAAATTGACAAAGTTACAACGCTATATAATTAAAAGAGAACATCAATCATTCGTTTCGACTAATGATAGAAGTAACCGATAGTTAACATGGCAATACTTTTTACGTCAACAACCTTTTTAATAAAGAGTCGCAGAATACGCGGTCGGCAAAATTACGAATAACAGAATAACGTAAGAAGGAAAATCGTAGTCTGTTCGTGTTTCGTTTCAAAAGGAGGTGCAATCGAGTTGAGTAAACTACACGTTTCGTTTGTACATATCATTATCCAATTCACCTAATAGAATTGTGCGTGTATGGTTACATATAACAAATTCTTGTGTATTCCGGAATGCACTGACAGTGCAGATGAGGCACGTGCAAATACATCGTGCACAGACATCTTACAGGCAACTGTACGATTATAATTAATACGTTCGTTTTGCACACAGAACGTAGCTACTGTTTTTCCGAAGCAACGGTGCGATTATTACGCTCTGATTGCCGCGACATTGGCGTGAGACAAAGCCGGTAAGCAAGCAAAGGAGGAAGAGGAGAAGTGTAACATCGAGATTGCCGATGCACCTGATGCAATCGTGGTTTAACATCGCGAAAAAGATGGAAACGCGCTGAGTGCGCGGCCCGGGTAGAATACACCGGATAAACGAAGACTCGCGGAAAGCTATATAGATTATTGACAAAAGCTGGATATTGTATTTACTCCGAGAAGAGTCGGCAACACTGCCTCGGCCATTCTGGATTTGATATTGGCAGTGAAAAAGAAACAAAGTGTGTACACACACGAGCAATCCCGACAATTATATGTGAACGTATAAATGACTCATCATTAACCCCCTTTAACTGCTGAGATATTAAATTAAACCAGTATGACCCTCTTTGCTGAGTTATTTTTACAATTATAAAATATTTTATCATGTTAAGAGAAGGCACTATATGCCCGCTCAATTCAAATGCTTTTTACAAACTAAATTAAATGGGTATTACACATTGAAAGTCTAAATCGAGTAAACTCGATCCTAGCAAGGCCGCCATTTTTTTCCACACTCGAGTTATCTCGACCGTAGCAAGTTAAAGGGTTAACAAAATCTCGTTTTAGTCGCTAATTTTGAAAAGAGGATCCATCAGGGATTTGTAGAATGAAATAAATATATCGCAGTTTATTCGGTTACAATTGATATAAATTATTGTACAATCTAATAATTATTGTGCGATTGTCATAAACGTGTGCATGTGTACATACGTATACTTTGTAAAATCTATTCACTTTCATTTAATTATTCACAAGTGTAATAACACGCATACTATTACATAACATTTTCGACGAAATCTTAAATTAGGAAGACAATTTATCGCTGAATCCCACAGATTTTAGCGTACCAACTTTTGCTAGCGTCGCAACTTGTATTTACACAATGAGGACATCGCGTCAAAAATTTAGGGCTTATAGTCTGTTTCGATTTAAGATGAGACGCTACAATGTCCGCTAAAGCGTCGATGAACAAAGGGTGAACATTGGGTGCCGCGGCCCTTCGTATCCTCTCGATACCAAGCTGAAAAAAAATTGGAAACGAAATATTTTCGTTTATCACGATAAACAGACAGTAAGATTCGCCAGAGTAATTCTTACTTCTTTGGCGAGTTCCTGGCAGTATTCTATATCCAGTTCATGGAGGGTTTCAATATGTTCGTTTACAAATGCGATCGGCACCAGAATGAAATTTTTCTTGCCTTGTTTAACGTAATCCTTTAACGCCTCGTCGGTAAAAGGTCCTAACCACGGCATGGGTCCGACCTGAATATACATATTTTAAAATGCTGTGGAAAGTACATAACGCGCAACATGTGCAAGGTTCTCTTTCTCTCTGTTTTTCTCTCCGGATCGATGAATCTCGTTAAGTCTGAAAATGGAATTAGTTACCACGACGCGTATATACCTTCGATTGCCACACTAAGCTGTATGGATTGCAATAATTTAATTCCTGCATCACTAATGCCACCGTAGCTCCAACCTCTGCCGGATACGAATCCCCTCTATTCACGACCTAAAGTGATTGCAAAAGGAGCGAATAAAATTTGTATTTTCGAAATTGAATGCGCATTAATTTAATAACAACCTGCAACGGCAGAGAATGAGCTGAAAACAGAATTATGACGTCGTCTCGGTTTTCGTTAGGAAAGTGGGCGAGTTCCTCTTTAATTCTTTCGACAAATGTTTTTATAAGGAGAGGATGTGTAGCCCATCTATCTATTACGCTCCATTTCATCTCGCTCGGTAATTCTCTGCAAGAACGTAATTTCTATCTGTTCTATGCATCTATTTTCGTATATATCATCCTCTGTTTCATTTATTTCTTCAACAACGAAACGAAAAAAGAACGCTTAAAGCGTTTTATACAATTTGAATGTATTTTGTACAATAAATAATCGATAATTTATCCTTAATATATAAGAGACAGAAACAGCATATATATAATCACCTAGTCCTGTAATAATTGTATATAGCGTTAAAACTGGAGCCCGAAGTCGAACAACTGTATTGTGGATACTGAGAGAAAAGTACAGTATGCCGCACCCCATCGCTGAAAAAGGAAAAGCGCACGATCGACTCCAATTATCTCCTAATGCGCGCGGTTTACGCATCGCACATGTCGCTAATGTAGCGTTACGTCTAAGGAAATATGATAACCGTACTTGCGTATCCTCTCGAGCGTATCCTCCGTGAGAGGATCTGCATATCGGAAGGCAACATAATACTTATGAGGTGCGGTTTCGGGCGAAATTTCATCCAACTTTTCGCACAAAAGCTCGCCCTGCTTATTCGTCCATTGCAGAATCGGTGAACCACCGCCAATCTCGAAATACTTTTTCTGCACCTCCATGGTACGACGTTTCGCTATCCAAGGTCCCAATATGCTGCAACATATGTCTGTAAAAAATATCTCTCCAGGATAACAGCCAGTCAGCTACCATCAGTCTATCCTGCGTGTCATGTGATACAAAAACTAAAAAACCTTTGAACTGGCAGCTGGATCATATCGCGATCAGTCATTATTCTTAACAGGTACTCGTGAACTTTATTAATATTGGTAGGGCCACCCATATTTAACATTACTATACCAGTCTTTGGCTTCGCACTATCTTTGTCTGCTGGATTCGCAGCAATGGAGGAGTAGCGCCGTGCTATTGCAGAGAATTTTGCACACTGCCGCCCTGCGTGACATCATATTTTAGTATCACTTATCATTTACTTATCTATTGTATGAGAAGATCTGGACTATCAATCAAAATCACACAAATACCGAAGCAAAGATTAAGTTATTTCACTTGCGATCAGATAAAACTGCAACATGGTAACAAAATATTTTTCAAGCACAGATGCAAATAGTAGTTATGATATTGCAAAATTCATAATGCTCGACGACATAATAAGAAATATCGCATGTTATTTTAAACGATAAATAATAACTTTCAACCTTAACTTCTCAATACTGGAGTTGCAGCTGACATTCTCGAAATGTTGCGTAAGAGTTTACGCGAAACTATTGACATTCCGTTATCAATACTTGACATCATACTATCGTCATTCGTTAGAATCACTTAGTTTATGTCACAGGTTATATCAGTTAGATTAAAAAATAAAAATTTATTTACTTACCGAAACATAAGAAGTTTGACAAGCTGTTAACACTCATATCGAAGCGAGTGATGTTCGATAATTCGAGCTGAGAAATTTAAAATTGCGATGCACACGTAAACGACAATGCTGTACAATTTTCGCACAATCACGATGATAGTACCGTTACATTAACGCGAGCACGGTGTCTCGTGAAAGGTTAGGTTCGGCATAACAGAGCACAGATGCGCTCCTGCTCGACAATTGCTCAAGGCTGGCGCTGCCACCTAACCAACGAATTGCGAAGTAACACACGTCCTCGTGCCTCGTGGTCCCACGTTAGACCGGTTCACGAAGAAATATCGTATGTCGAGCCTGACTCCGGCTCGAAATTAGCAGCGGAAATCCGCTGCTTCGTTCGCAACGACACGACACGATCGATTTACGACGGAGTAATCGATCCGACTTGCGATCACGCGATCAGGGCAGTGCCTGAGCACGAAAGTTGTCGCATGTCGTGTGAAAGCCGACGAGAATTCACGTAGTCCGTCACTCAGTCAGTCAGTCAGTCAGACAGTCGAGCTAAGTGAGAGATTCACGACGGGATGATGACAGAACGAGAGGACGGGGGGGAACTGGCACCTTCGGAACTGGGCACCCTCGACTTGTGAGTAAATACGTACCGTGATCGCGCGACACCCGTGGTGCATTACTCGTCGCTTTTTTTTCACGTCCCTCACGTGCCTCTTGTAGCTGGGAGAACGCGTACGCGCAGGAGCTCGACAACTTCCGCGATCACGGCGACGTGGGCGAGATATGGTTCGGCGCGGGGAATTCGCGCAAGGTCGTACGGTAAGTGAGCAAAGGAGTTAAAAGCGCAAACACGCGAATAAACAGCACCCCCGAAAATCGATGAAGAGCTTTTACCGCGAAACGTAAACAGCACGATGCTGTCAGGTGACGCCGACTCTCCGCGAGTTAACCGTGGCGACATCTATCGAGCTGCTCACGAATGTTCCCACCGTGGTAATACCTTCGAGTTTCTACTCGAACCGTGGAAGAAGCACTAGATCGTTCATCCCGAATAAAATCGGGTGAAGCACCGATATTATCGACCACGTCCAAATACCCGATAAAAACTAAACAGTTAAGCTAATACAGACAGCCTATTTTTTCAGAGTAAGAAGTATAGAATTGATACGCAGAAAGAATCTCAGTATAATTTCTATGCTATTACTTACTAGTTTCCCGAGTTGAATCCTGACCTTCCATAACCCAACAAAAAGTCCTGCGACGATGTGCACCTCCGGGGACTGTTTAGCGATATTTCGTCGCAACAAATGCGAGACTGTCTTTCGGTCAGGGGAGGGAAATGTCCAACCCGAGATCCCGTCATGTCCGCCATATGATACACAACGAACTTCGATGTTTCCATACGATATGGGCTATTTCGCGAGACGTTCTTTCGGAGATCACTTGGCGATATTTCGGTACGGTCGACCCGCGATAACGATATTTCGGTATACTCGACCGTATATTCGGTATACTCGATTCAGTAACTGGGATACGAGAGTGAGTCGGAGAAACAGACGCTTGACAATTTGAACTTGTAACCGCCATAACGCGAGCCGTGTTAGTCGACATTCCCGACACCCCGTTTCGCCAGATATTCGCTCTCGGCTCTTCAGCGATATATATATCTTCATAACACACGCGCGATATTCACTCTTGGCGTTTTCGGGGATGAAGATTTTGGCGCGAGACTTACTTTCGGTAAGTCAAAATCGCAATTGGATACGGAGAGCAGTCCGAGTGTGAACTGCCGCGTCGCGATCCGCTGCGTACTGACGTGAATATTGCAACAATTGAGAATCTCGAAGTATCGAAACTCTCGACGCAGCGAATATGCACGCCGCGCTATGCAAACTCTCCGGTCGCGATTGTCTGTGCAACAGACAATAAAAATATAAAATAAATAGAGCGTTGTAAGCTAACGAATTTTCGTAAAACGTTGATCTTAAGGAATAACATGATACCTTAATAGCAATATGTTACATAAAAAAGGGAAGGAAAAAATTAAATTAATTTAAATGCAAGTTCAAATAATGAAACTAATTTTCTTCATTAAGAGATGAGAGAAACTGACGAGAGTATTAGAGAGTATTTTAATCACGAATTGACCGAGATTACTAAACAAAAGTTTTTCTTATACAGATGGATCGTCACGAAATTGGATCTAGATAAGGAGAACGATAAGGTAATCGACGTGGGATGTGGTAACGCGATGACTTTAGTGGAACTCGCGAACGAAGGGTTCGCAAACTTGTTGGGAGTCGATTATTCGCAGAAAGCGATCGATCTAGCCCGCATGGTGTTAAACGATAACAACTTGTCGAATGTGAAGTTAGAAGTTTGCAATATTCTCAACAATACGCTGCCGCATGACTTCAAAGTTGTTCACGATAAAGGCACTTACGATGCCATTAGTTTAAATCCGGACGATCCGACGGCGAAGCGACAGACATACATAGAAAACATACACCGCATTCTTTCGCCAGGAGGATATCTCGTTTTAACTTCTTGTAACTGGACAAAAGAAGAACTGTTAAAACACTTTACGAGTCGTTAGTACAATTTTTAGTAAAATATCAATACTTTTGTCCGAAGAACTTTCGTCCAAGAACTTAAAGAATTATGTTTCTATTGCATTCTCTCTGAAAATCTCATTAAAAATGTTTCAAAAATTCTTGTTAATTTAAGCATCACAAAAATACGATATAACATAACAATGGAATAATGCGTTTATTGTTTGCAGATTTCGAACTCGATAGTCAATTGCCTACGGATACTTTTCAGTTTGGTGGACAGACGGGAAACACGGTGACGCAATTGGTGTTTAGAAAGAAATGATTAATCTCGAAATATCTTCGCGCAGGAATAAATAAAATGTTTATAACCTGTGAAATTTATTTTGACTATTTCCTTCTACAGCATGAGAATAAATGAAGACTTCGAAAAAATTCGAAGATTTATTTGTGCACAAAATACTCAAGTACATAAAACGACATTAGAGTGAGGACAATAACTCTAAATATTCTTGACTAGTATTATATTACAAAGTTTACAAAAGATACTTATACTAAATTAAACACGCGCTGCAATAAACTTCTACAATTATTAAGTATACTACAGCAGAAAGAATCATATATTATTTGTCATGTGTGATTACATTTGTTAAGGTTAAGGCATCATTGGCAGAACTTCACAAGAAGATTTTTATAAATTGATTCGATCATTATTCCGATGCCGAGGCACGTTCGCTAATCGCTAATCGATATTGCATTAAGACGAGATTGACATAAATAGACGAAACGTTGAATTAGATTAATCGATCATTTTTGAATCTTAGAATAAAAATTTCAGAATATTTAGACAGTTTTGTTTGATTTGCGATTGGGTTATGTCGTTCTGAGATTTGTTTCTCCATCTTACAAATTTTACCAAGGAAAATACAACACCAAAATAAATCATTAAAAGTTTGTGTGTATCCAAATGTACTTGTTGCTTGGTGCAGTCAAAACGCGAAGTCTAAATATGTACACTACGGAAATCTTCTACTAAAGCGTCACTCTTTGTTATTTCAGATTTTAAAGATAGCTAAAGTATGAATCTAACGATAAGTTTTATGCGTATTATGCGTATATTATGCAAATGTTATACCGTTTTAATCTTCCGTACTCATGCTATGATCCCTGATGAAACACAACATGAAAATCAAGGATATGGTAATAGTAATCAAATGATAGATCATACGATAAGATAGAATTTGCATGGAATACATTATTGAACTGTTTTCCTCAATTGATCCTTTTCTTGTAACAATGCTGCAATGCAATTTCTCCCTTTCAACTATAGCAGTTATGTTAAAATGTTTAATGTATCGAGAATATATACGAGTACGAAAGATTAGTGCTTATATTTAATTAATTAATTAATTAATAATCGTTTTTGTATAGAGGGTGGTTCAGAATTACTGTTCGGTTTCCCGACTTGATCACGGGTATAAGCTACGTATAAATCGATAATCGGATTAAACCGGGTTGTTTTAGTAGTATAGTAAGATAAAATTAACGATGTTATTTATCTGAGTCATCGTTTATACAGATTCAAAGTTAGTGATAGATAGAAATCCCGAATTATTCGGTATTCCTCTAGCAGATATCTGAATTAGTTTGAACATTTCTCTGTGATTTGATTGCAACGCTACATATTTTAACACTGATTACAGAATCCGCTGATTGACAAATTGATGTCCAAAAGAGCAGCCGAAAGTGGAATTAGTTTTAATTTTTCATTCTAAAAACGAATCAGAGGAAAAAACACGAGATTTTCCGCGGACGCTTGCAACATAACGCGTCTTAAATAATACGTACATCGATTGTCCCAGAAACCATGCACTTTTTCTAAATTACAATCGATTGAAAGCAAACTGGAAAGGGTGGCGATTGTCTGTGTAGAAATCGATAACTTTTATGCTGCTAACAATTACGAAACTTAAGAGTCTTCACAAGCAACGTAAACGGCTTAACATTTCATGCAAATCTCCGTTAAAAGGATCATAAAAATAGCATCTATTAACCTCCTGCTAAGGAGAAACTTGTTTGTCGAAGAAATCTGCAATTGAAAAGAACTGCTCAATTACTGGAACACTCTATCTATACTTGGTTGAGATCTGATCAGAATTCGTAGCTATTTGACACATAAACGTTCGTCAACTCTCTGAACGCATACATACGTTCTGCTAAAACGCTTTCGTCAAATTAACGGAAATGTTGATACTTTTATAAAAAAGCGTATTTCTCTAGCCGTTATTTCTCCTTTGATTCGTTAATTCGAAGAATGATCTTTTTCTATCGTGTGACTTTGTACGGAGTTGTAAGAATGTTCGAGATATTGCTTTGAAAGATCGTAGAGAGATTTAGACGTAGTTAAGTCTTCCTAGCATGAGCGAAGCAGCCAGAAGAGTCATCGTATACAACGTGAAGATTGACGAGCAACCTAGGAAGTAACGTAAACGTGTCTTAAGCTGATAATTTATTTTTAATACCAACACACCGTAAACCGAACTCAGTTATCAATATACTTTAAATTTGTCGCTGGACATTTTCTTATGATTAATTTCTTATGATCGACGGTCATCGTATACGATAAGCAACACTCGACGCGTAAGTCATCATCTAAAATTCCTTTTTAATCTTTTATTCAATTAACACTAATCGAAACAACTTACCTTTTACCTTTTAAAGACAAACATATGATAAATATTTGTTTCGATTCGGAATATTGTGAGTGTTGTATAGAAAATGTTTACTACGTAAATCCACGATAAAACTACTGAAATTGTTTATTATATCTTTCTTAATTATTAAAGAAAATCTATTTTCACCAAGCGCTACGCAAGATTTACATTTATTAATTTAAGTCAGATTATCTTTTGCAGGGACAATAGGAATCGGAACTCACCGTTACAAAACAATGGGCTTTCTTCGAAGAATCCCTCTTCACAGTAACAGCGTTTTCCCAAAGTGGCGTTGCGTACAGTACATTGGGCGTCTTCTATGCACTCTGAATTGTCATTGCAGGATACATGAAGCGCTAAAAGAAGGACGTGCAATTTTTGAGGCAATCCCAAAATTTACGCAGAAAATCACTTATCGGCAAACAATAAATAAAGATACAACAATTTTTTGAGATTTATTTTTAGCGGAACTTTCTCTCTCGGCCATTTACCAAATTTATGATGTACGTGAGTGAGGTTTTTAACTTTGACAGAGTGCGATGTAAACGTTCCATTTAATTTCTCGAGCGATATGTATATGCATACATTCGCGCGAATACGCGCGAATCCCCGACACAACTCTTAAGCGGCGATCGATTCGTGACTGCGGTTAATTGTAAAGCAAAACGTTCGGGCCAATCATCGGCCGAAAATCAGAAGGGAAACATGCATAGTGATCATCTAATCAAACGAAATTGCTGAGTTTCCGGAGTCGCTTCGCGAGCCTCTAATATTACGTATCGAGCTGCAAATCGCCTGGCACACGTTATACGCTTTCCAAAGTTCGAAGATTCGGTTAACATTTCTCAACCGCATCGTGCCAGGTACGGCCACCGTTCGCTCTTGTTCTCATCGATGATTTATCGCCGTTTGATACGAAAGCCTCGGAAGCGGAATTTAACTACCCGAGCAGGTACGTCTCGCGTGCGTAATGTGCGAAACGTCGCGATAAGCGCACACGTGTTACGTGTCGAATGCGCACAATTCGCGCGAGGAACGTGTCCGGCTTTTGTCGTCACCGTTCTACTTTCTTGATTTTTCCTGCCGTGCAGCGGAGAGCACTGCAGAAAAACGGGCCGTGGAAGGTACAGTGGAAGGTCGGTCGGAGCGATACTCCTTACCTATTTCAATTTGCATAGATAATGCCATGAACTGCCTACGAACACCGTCATATGTTCACGTATTGCAATACAACACGTAAGTATATGCAAATCTCGGTGCCGACTCCGAGTTCAAGTCATCCCATTGGAAGCTCGAGTAACCCGGCGGATTAAAGCGATAGTGTAACGGATAAATGTGCGCCCAAAGTTTATCTGGAGTGGTTTATTGCGGCCGAATAAGTGCCGCGAGAAATTACATAAAAGACACGTAACACATATACAGGGTACTATCGGAAACTACTTCAGGAATCCATCCGGATTTCCGGACGCGATTAATTTCTCGTTTCTTCGTATTCGTCGCTAATTACCTCGCTAAGCGAAGTTTTCGATTATTCTCGGGCGTTGTAAGCGCGCATAACAAATCCGATCTCGCCGAATCGCGACTGCAACGAGCGGCTGAGACAGTCGGTCGGGAAAGTAACAACAAAGCAACAAAGATTGCAAAAAGATCGCGCTACCTTTGTATTTATTAGCGCAGAGACCATTAAGTGGTGCCGAATAATCGCCACAAAGACATCGTCTTCTTCCATCCTGGTGATCCGATATACACGAGGTGTTTTGAATTCCAATACAGTCGCTATGTACCTTGCACTCGCGAGCTTTTCCAACTGCAATTGTAAATATCGTTCTGTATGAGACGCCGCCGTTTTGTTCTATTCTCGGCTCGTTTTCGCTCCGCGAAAAATCCACGTAACATCGTCTTACGGTATACCATTACAACTTAGACTTGCAAATTGATAGCAAAATTGGCAAAGACTGAGCTCCATTGCGATCTCTCTGTTTTGAGACATATGAAGCGTTTCTTTGTCTTTCGCAAAGTGAAGCTTACAAAGCAAAACTGAGCCGTGCGAGAAAACGCGAGAAACAGCTTCGAATGATAGCAATCGTCAAAAAGTCATGCGAACTAGAACTCTGACATTCAACAGAACATTAGTATTCATCTGCATTTCAGTTTAACCTTGAAGACACCCCGACGTGAGATTTTTATTTCGAGTTCATAGTTTTGAATAGGAACACCCCGACACGGTGATACTTTAACGCTGATTTGCATATTTCTATTGATGAGCCGAGATGACATTTCGTAGCGTACAACGTTACGTCTCGTTGTGCGCGAAATAGCTATTGACAAAAAAAACGCGACATTGGTGGATACAACTACACCTAATGTGTAATGTCCTGAAATAGAGAGAGGGAAGTCATTCTGACGAGGGAGAGAGAAATAACAAACGATTCTCGGAGAAACGGAGAGCGCATTTTTCCCTAGAATACAGCGTTATAATTAACGTCAAACTTTCGTTACCAGTTCGTCCACATACCTGGTGTCGGAGGCGGTGGCGGGTTTTGGTTCTGATTTTGCGGGTTGGTCTTGCCGAAAGTCACGAGAGCCCCGGACATCGGCGGCGAGAATATCGACACGGCCAGTAAAACGGACAAGATTATGCGGGCACCTATTTCGCCTCTCATGGTCTCGCGATTGGTCGCGATGCGAATAATATTTTAATCGATTACCACTTGTACGATCACACAAATCACACAAATCCGGTCCTTAAGGTGAAGAGGTGAGAAGAGGGGGGGGGGAGGGATGGAGGGGGAGGGAAGAAAAGGAGGAAGGATTTGTTTACGCAAAGAAAGAGAGTCGTCTCTTCTCCGCGCGGATCTTTATTTCTGCTCTTCGTCTCCACGAATTTTCCTCCCGAAGACGAATCTTCTCTCTACAACGGGGATTTATCTCCCCGACGAGTGAATCTCGGCTTACTACACACTGGTCGACAAGGGCACCGCGGTGACAGTTTAATGAACAGGCAACGATGGTACACCGTCCACTCAGGCTCGGAGTCGAAGAGAGTATCCCTCGCACTTTCTTCCGTTTCACTTACACGGAATACTGAGTATGTTTGATTTCAAGACTGCGTGTTACAAGGACGTCGGAAGGCCTTTTAAGCCTTCCAAGCATCCCCACTACGTAACTCCCCTACGTGCTGCCACCACTAAAGCAGAAAATGCTCTACCGTAAGGTGGTTACCTTACCGCTTTCCTTGAGAATCTGAGCAGAGTTGGCTGGCTGGCTGGCTGGCTGGTCGAGCTGAACTTCGATCGCCGCGAAAAACGCCGCGGTTAGACGCTGCTACGTTCTACTTAACTACCCCCGGCCGTGTCGCCGCGCGAACATTGCCGGCCAGATTTATTAACCCGGCGCGCACATAGCTTGATTCTCTCTCCGGGCCAGCAGCCGGAAACGAACCTTCGAAGCGTTCTATTTTGCATCGTTATCGCACGCGCGGCATCTGTTCCCGTTATAGACAATCGTATATCAGCGATCGGGCTTTAAGCAATTCCCGCTGGATTACTGGCGAAATCGGTCAAATAGGAAAATTCGAGCGTAACGACGGCGCTCACGTCGCTTCGGGAGAACATAGGGGCAAGCTGTTTGAAAATACCCTTATCGAGCGCACATCTCGCGATCGCAAATCGTTATCCAGATGAAAGTTTCATTCCTCACGCTGACGCTCGATATAAATTGCACGAGAACACTGCAATTATTTTAATCGACTTACATGCGCCTAATCGAATACCGGCTTATTCTGTTTCACCCCAGGCAAGAGAAATAAATTCTTTTTTCGTACAAATCTGCACTTTTTCGCGAACACGAGCACGCAAAGCTTCGAATAAATCACGGACTTCCCGGTTACGGTATTTGTCGTTTTCTTCCACAGGCACATTGATTTTCCTAAGATCGATTTTTTTTTTTATAATTCGCTCGTATCGCACTTTCTTCCTCTTACGACAGATACTTGGCGAATGTCGGAGGAGAATTGTCGTCGTAATAAAATGTTCTTCATGCGTTTCCTTTTATTTTTTAATTTTTTATGAACTCGATCAGCAAGCTACCGTGCGCTGTAATAAAAATTTCAGCGCGAGAATCTACGACCTGTGACTCGAAAGGCAAGAATCATAATCGCATCACGTCCTTTTGATATTTTCCCTAAATGTTCACTATTTACAATTAATCGTTTCATCTCAATCGCTTCAAGAAAATTGAATTATACATACTAACTGGCCAAAATGCGAGACGTGAGTTAGCATTCGTTCTCAATTATATATTTTCCCTCGGCGATACTTAGGTATGAATAATGCAGAACGCGGAATAAAGAAATGAGCGCCATTCCCCCCGCGGAATGAGACTCATCCCTCGAGGTATCCTCGCGTGTTACTTGCGAGAGAAGTTATCTCGGTCTCTAGCATAGACCCAACGTTATCTTTTCAGGCGCACTCGGCATCGCGCGACGTTATGTCGGTCTCTTCGTCGGCGAATACCGTCGAGCTCGAAATGTTAACTTTGCTGGTTACAAAGGAGACTCATCCGGCCGCGCGTGCACGAAAGCCACCGAAAATTTATCGTCGTGTTGCCAGTATTTTATGGGCAGACAGTCGTAGAAACGTGTCCGCCCGCACGCCAAGTGCATCGTGCTCACCTTGCAGCGTTGCTGTTTACAACGACAGGAAGGAGCGTGTCGGATTGTCGTGTCGATTTCACGACGATCACGTCGCCTTTTGTTTCGTCGGCGAAATGTTCTCATCGATCGTCGATCACGAAGGCTCGCGTGTGATTCATAAATTTAGCAGGACGCGTGCAGGACGTGCCGTGATTTACAAAGCAATTTGCCGCGGAATGCTCGTCCGGTGATCGAAACACTGATCGAACTGTCGTGGTAATCTTGCGTGTTTCACGAGACGAGGTAAGGTGTAAGGTCAGAGCGCGATTAAGCCAACTTGATTGACCGGAGAGAGAGGTTAGCGTTAATAAAGAAGCGAAGTGCTATATCATATCGAGAACCTGACACCTGACCTGTGGTTCGTATTTTATATTGAATGTTCCATTTCCGAAACTTTGTACGAAGTCATGGGGCTGTCGTTGTAGTTTCTGGACTGGAATTCCGACTGAATCTTCTTGCAATTATCATTGGAATCGAGTTGAGTTTATCACCGCGTCATTCCTGCAAAATTATCATTCTTCTTCGCAAAAATGAATTATTCCGTTCATTTTTAGCGCGCTTGACATCATATGCTGCAGCCGACGATGATAGTGACATAAAGTATAGAAATTAAGCGCATTATTTAACGTATCGGCATACGAACGGAACTAAAGTGGCGGAACTAAGGATAATAATGGGCAGTAATCTCACTGGGCAGTTGTCAAAGAGACGAGAGGAAGGACTGATAATGGTAAGATAAAGTATCAGTCCGATAATTGCATCCGATATTTGAGTCATACGCTAATGGCGATGGTAAATTACGAGGACCTCAACGCGACGCCGCACAAAAATTATTTCCAAGATATACGAACTCGACCTACTTCGCTCGTTCCATAAACGCCGAACGGCCAATTGTAATCGCCATTCGACTAACGCATGAAAACAGTTATCGGATTAACGCAACGCCACGTATAAGTCGTAACAAATTAGCATGAATAAGTTCAAGGTCTATGCGCAGGCACGTCTATGAGTGCATAACGCACCAATTATGCCGTAGCATGCCTCTGTCGAATGCCCGCGGGTTTTACGAACAAATTTCGCGAGCATGTCACATACCGAGTGGCAATAAACGAAACTACAGGTCAAAAAAATACTAGCGTGTTTTACATGCAGTTGTTATTGTAGTGTTCTTTATTGGTTCGAATTATTTTTATATTCCTATAAATGGGTTTATTAACAGTACACCCGACTACGTTGTGTATCTGTGCACGTTCTTATGGTAAATATTTGTTTATTTTCCTCCATTATTGTTTAACGTGTATATATATATACGTTATTATATCTTTATTAACATATAGCATCATATACTACTGCTTTTTCTCAATCCTTCTTTTTTATCATGTCTTTGTACTTGTCAATTATGCACTTTTTGATATGCGTTATAATATTGCTCGGACTGTCTTCGAAAGACGATTTCATGAAGAGGATTCTATCTTCTCTGACAAGGCAATCCGTTAACACTTTCTTTCCAAATAGTAACGCACTACGATAGTCAGGAATATATACTTTGGTGATTGATTCGTTCCCCTCTATGTATAATAATAATGGTTCTTCAATTGATTCTGAAAATAAATATTTCGTACATATTCAAATAAAGAAATATAAGTAAATATGTTGAGTTGTTAATTAATTAATATTGATTAACAGAGTTATCAAGTGAATCAGACGAGCAAGGTACACGCTTGTACACGCGTCGACAAACAAAATGCATGCATTTATATCATTTATCTCTTTTAACGAAACTGTTTTAACGAACTGTTTAATTTAATTCAACTTAAAATCCACTTAATTTATATTAGAAAAAAGAGAAAAAGTGTCAAAGCAAAGTTTCTATTAGTAATATAATGTATTATGTGTTTCTATTAGTAATAGTAATATAATTCTATTAGTAATATAATGATTAACGCTTTTAATGTAGAAATTAGCACGTACCTTTCTCCCATGTCAAGTAAGCCTCCCACTTTAGCTTTGAATTCAAGTTGCATATAATATTAAACCATAGATAAAGCATATATTCTGTGCTGCAAAACATATGATGGTTGAAAGCCGTACCAGGACCGTTAATATTATGAATGTTACCGTGGTAATGGTCGTAGTAATACGAGTCATCCTCGGAAGTGGAAGAGGAAGTGGAAGATGCCTCGATTGTTTGTATCTCATGCTGCTTGTAAATTACATCTTCTTGTTTTTCTTCCGAGCTAACAAACAAGTCTTTATCTGATTCCCTGTTGTCATTTTCATAGTCGTGTGGAACTTTGTCATGCTCTTTCGAGTGGAAATCATCGTAGTAACTATCTTCCTTGTTCCTTGTTAATTTATTCATTGTATCTCTTTCGTTAGAGGTGAGTTCCTCTTCTTTAGAGCAATGGAGATAATAGTTGCATTTTTGTGTTTGTCCATTACAGAAAAATTTTTTATTTTCTGAAGTTTTGATAGACCACCAATCTCCGAACTGATTTGAGTTTTTAAGTAACGCCTGTATGTCATGTACTCCGAAATATATGGAAAAATCATTGCTAATTTTAGAAAACACGTACGACGATAGCCGAGTCTTCGGTATCAATAATGTTATTGTTTCATATGATTTACAGTTCCCAATACACATTTCTTTAATCTCTCCGCCTGATTCACATTTGTCAGACATTTCCTCTAACGAATACTTATTTTCTTCACTTTTTATCCCAGTAAGCATAGGGTCATGGAATGAAATATGCTGATTGTCGATGTTACTTATATTGTCGTATTCTGCATTATCTTTGTCGCTTGAAATGTCGTCTTCTTTGTGTTCTGTCGTTTGAGAAACTAAAGAATCTTTACTCGCATGTTCTGATGATATTTCAGCAGACTTGCCTAGCATTGCAATTGTGCGCCACCACTGAGATTTTGCTTTTTCTCGTTTGTCACTCTCCTCGCTAAAGATTTTGTCATCGTAAAAGGATTTATCCATGAATAAATTATCACCTTTTTGTGTTTCATTTTCGAAAGGATCAGATGAAACATCTTCTGATTTTTGAGAATTACTCTTTGGATTTACGTCTCTTTTGTAACCTACGTAATCTTTCAGACTCGGAGGTCTTGCAGTAAGAGAGTAATCCGATATTCTTTTCGATAGACTGTCTAATCTTTGTTGATTATCTAATAGCGTACGTTCATGACTTATACTTTTAGTACCGTCTAATGTATGTAGATTATCTGTCAGTGGCTTACGTTCATAAACTTGAGCTAAATTCTCTTGTCCTAACTTGGGAAAATTCGGGGGAATATCAAAGTTCCTATGCTTTTGGAAACTATTTTGTGGTCGTGAACTTGCCTCAGTTTGTTTGTTATTCTCATTACTGGAGAATTTGTCATTATAAAGTTTATCCATGAACAAGCGCGAATGATCATTCTCTTGTTTTACATCTTTGATAGTATCAAATGAAATTTCGTCTGTTTTTTGGGAACTATTTATTGAATTTATATCTTCTTTATGATTCACGGAATCTTTTTTATCCGGAATGTAAAGATCAACGAGTGCCGCAGTTCCTTCAGTTATTGCAATTAATTCGAATGTTGGTACTTCGACGATGTTCGTACTCTTTCTCTCTCTTATATTTTTTGTAGAAAATATATGTCTCAAGCAAACGAACAATATAAGAGAAAACAAAAGTGCTGTGAGAACCGTCAAGAGATAGGATGTCCGCTTATATCTTAGTAATTCCACATTTTTCTTTAACATTTCTTTTGTGCTTAGAAGTGTATCTCTATCTGTAGAATTATATAAAGAAAATGTCCGTAATTATTATAATAATAGAGACAAATATTAAAATACATGTAGTTGATAATACGAAATAAACATTAGCCGAAACAAAAGAAAGAGAAAAAGTACATCTTGTTATGTAAATTAGAATCAACAGAAAAATTGAAAGAGGAAACTTTATAAAAAAATAAGTTAAAAAAGAAAGAAGAAGAAACGAAAACACACAACAATTCTGTCACGAGGAACATACATTTATCTTCCGAAAATATTACATGGATGTAGTAAAATATTTTCTCATTACGTCGATCAATGTTTCGAGGATTTTTTGTGTAACCAAATCGTATGCAATTGTCATTTTTTTATACGCGAAAATATAAAAATGCGTATAATGCAATACTCACCCTCTACATTTTCCATTTTGTTCTTCATGTTTCACGATTGAAGAACGTCCAGCTACGATATCTCGGAACGTTCTGCACGACAGTAAGCACTAGACTCGACTGTCAGGGAAGTTAACAGGAAGAACAAAGTTATACACATTTTTCCTAATGCGTCTCTTGATAGGATAAAGACGCTACTCCAATCGTTGTGTATGATGAGTCAATGGTGATTATTGCCTTGGAGTCAACCAAATATCAAGTTGAACATCATATCAACTTTTAACGTTGTTCAACGTTATGTTAAGTTATGTTAAGTTCTTTAGAGAACTTAATCACCGATAGATTAGATCAATTTTTTTCCTACCTTGTTGCATTCGTGGAGTTAAGATAAGAGAAAATATGCTAGAATAAATTTTTAATATGTGAATGTGATAGAATAAATTTTTCTCCCATTTTTCCCTTTATGCGTGAATATTTGATTCCTTGTCGTTAATTCTCCATTTTATAAGATGCCTAAGATTAATACGATAACGATAACTTTGAAATACCTATATCACTCCCGAAGATTATCCTTATGTGATAACAACGCAGTTCGTTCAAATCTGTCCGATATCATACGGCAGTATCGGTCGTGTAATTCGAAGAACCAAGTACTAAATTGAGTATATATAACAGAAAAACGCGATGGTCTTTGTTGAGGTAATTTTAATGCATTTCTTCTTTTATGAAGTAATAAGTAAATCTTACTGAAACGTATCGTATGATAAAATATTATGTACAAACGGAGGAAAGCACCTTTCGCACAATGATATTGAGAATATTTTCAGGAGTAAAATTCACAAGAACGCCTGAACAGAACATAGGAAACAAGAGAGAAGCAATTTTTCAAAAGTAATATCCGAGGAACACGGTACAGGTGCAGTTCTTCTTGACGATATGACGAATTTTTGCACGCTTGCAATCGCGCCTCTTATATCCCGTCTAGAGTCGGCACTGCTTTAGATTTGATAAAAGAAAGTTGAGCAACATTGTCAAAGACAATCAGTAATACTCGTAAGTCACGAAGATGCGGCAAACTCGTCAAGTAGTGTACGTTCTACTCTACCTGCAATTCTTTATTCGCGACGGTAGGAATATAGTTTACAAATAATAAGTTAATTTCATACAGACGCTTATGGAAACTTCTTAAAGCGTTATTATTATTATTTTCATTAGTACACGTCGTATTAAGAGCATATCATAATATATATCATATTTAAAACGAATTAATACAAATCACCATCTAATGTGAAAAATAAAAGATTCATGTTGCGACGAATAATCAAATCTTCATTTCAGTCTTCACACTGGACGTTGACGTTCTCTCGAAAGAATACGGAAGCGTTATAGATGACATCGCACAAATCAGCAAATGGGAATGCGAGTCCGATAATGAGTGTACAGCGACCGGTAGTACGTGCAACAATCGCGAGTGTCAGTGCGCACTTGGAAACATCTATAATTCCAACATGACAGCCTGCGTCAAAGGTAGCGTTTCTCTCGAGCTTGTAACTTCGTCACATCGCGCGCTTGGTAATCTTCTAATCATGATTCGAGCAAAGAGACTTCTATTCTGTACTTGACAGTTGCCACCAGACTGCACGATCAGTGCGAGGACACGGTGCAGTGCTCGGCTTATCTCCTCGGTGGCGCTGAATGCGTTGACAATATTTGCGTATGCGGACCCGGTTACTATTATCTGCACGGCAGATGCAACCGATACGTAGGTGCGTGATATTCTCCGCGTTTTACATCTGAATTCTCTCACATCGCTAACAACAACAGAAATTTGACTTTACGTGCGATGACGCGCAGGCCTGTCGGAGAGATGCGAGCGAAGCGTCGACTGCTACGTGAATGCCGATTTCGAGGCGAGCACTTGCAACGAGAACACTTGCGAGTGTAGCCCAGGCTTCTATCGGCGTGAATACCGCACTTGTCGACGCGCAGGAAAAGGTGACGTGAATGTCAGCACAGTGTATCGATGTGCGTCGATTGAAAATTTCAACTGTCACGTCGAATATTAACGCTTTCCCGATGATTACGTAATAGCTGTCGGTGACGAATGCACGATAGACATCGATTGCACCTTCGAGAATGCGGCCTGTAAGGACTTTGTTTGCGTCAAAAAATTCGAATCTAAGGAAGCCATTGGACCTTCGGCCGACGTCGTATCGACAACCACTGCCGCCGACAAATCCACGGGTGAGAGCGTCAGTGTAAGAATTATACGTAAATCATGAGCGCGTAACGTGCTCGTAACTTTCGTCGTTAGACGAGACACGCCTGTGCACGTGTGTGTGTATATGTGTGATCCTATTAGAAATTAGGTTGGGCAGCAACTGTACGGGCGACGAGGACTGCAGCGGGCTGGGGAACGCCATGTGCGATGATACCGGGAAATGTCGTTGTGACCGTGCGCATTTCGCACCTCACGAGCAGTGCATACCAGGTAGAATTAACGACACAAACGTGACCACGGGCGACGACGTGCAACTGTATTTATGTTGACAGAGCTGGGAGAATCCTGTCGCAGCGACGACGCAGCCGTCATAGAGAGGTCCGCCTGCCGAGCGGGTGTATGGAGTTGCGCGAATGGCACAGTCGCGTCTGAGGACAATCGCGAGTGTCGCAAGGGTGAGTGTGTGCGTGTTTCTAGCGGAGGCGGAAATCCGCGTGCGATTTTAACACGAGTTCGCTCCTCAATGATGTATAATTGATATTATAGGTAGGTAAAACATATCGAAACACGGAGGACTTGTCCTCGAGTGAACGCGCGGCATCGATTCGAGCTGCGACGTTGCGGTACGATTTGTACCGCTTCTCCCTTTTTTAACGAGTCTACGTATTTCGTTCAGCGACCACGGAATACGGCGGAGAGTGTTCCCGGAAGGAAGACTGTTACATCCTCGGCCCGGACGCCGAGTGCGCGGACGAGAAGTGCGTATGCAACGCGGCTTCCCATTATGTGAGGAGCGAGCTGTTTTGCTGGGGAAACAAAGGGATCGGCGAGGCTTGTGTGCAGAAACGCGACTGCTACGTCGACGGTTTCAAGAACAGGCTGGTGTGCAAGGACGGCTCATGCGGCTGTCCCGATAACACGCACTTGAACAAGGACAAGACAGCCTGCGTAGGCAGAGCGGCAGGTTAACTAACGATTGTCTCTCACGTTCTCGTGGCTCGACGGGAATCTCTCAAACGAGATCTGCTGCGTTAAATTTCCAGGAGTCGGAGAGATTTGCGAGGTGAACGAGGACTGTGCGGCGAAAAACGCGATTTGCAATGAGGAGCTGTGCGAATGCAGGGAAAATTATTACCTGTCGAAGGACCGATGTCTGGCAGGTGATGTCTCGTTAATTATCGTACATACATAGTCGACACGCATAGTTTTTAAGTACCTAAAGTGTGGATCGCATGGAACACGCGAGAGACGACACGCAAGGAATACGTGCGTGAATACGTTGAAATTGGACGATTACGAATAAAATGAATGTAATATAATGAATAATTCGGCTGATACGACCGTTGACTTTTTTCAGGTCTCAATGCTACTTGCAGGGTGGACAAGCAGTGCGCACTGGCAAACTCCGCGTGCATTTCAGAAGTATGTTCGTGCAAATCGGACTACGTGCCTGTAGCTACCAACTCGTGTCTGCCAGGTAAGATTTAGTGTCTCTTCGTGTCACCGGAATGCAGTATCGCGAGAATTTCACTTGCCGTTTCACCGTTGCTTCCTAAATGTCATTTTAAAGGTGGATGTTGAAAATGTATTTGTACAGAGAGTTTCTTCTTTAACATATATATACCAATTTCTCCCCAGTATCGTCGTACGGCGAGTCTTGTTCGGAAGACATTCAATGTTCTGCCAAAGTGCCGGGTGCGACTTGTGCGACCATCAATCAAGGCAAAGAGAAGCGTATCGCGGACTTAACGGATACGTCAGATGAAGAAGAGGCTGGAAATAAGGTTTGCGCCTGTGACAAGGAAGATCACCACAGATACGGGAGATGTTTCAAGAAGAAGCGTAAGATACGATGATTTGTCGTTGAGTCGATAATCTTCGCACAGATAATCCATCCGTCGGAAATGTGTATTCGTATTCTTATTACAGTTCTCAGCGAAAGCTGCACGAATATCGGCGAATGTTACGTAAGCTTCAACCAGCAGACGGTGATGTGCATGAACGGGGAGTGCACGTGCAATTGGGGTTACGTGAAAATGAACAGTAGCGTCTGCTTGAAGGATACGCGACGCGCGAACTTTCTCAACGGTAAGCCAGCCTTGACTCTCGTGTCAGTCGATCGACAAATTTTACCGCATTTTACTTCCGCCTGCATAACAGCAAGGACATTATTACAGCTGGCTGTACTTTTGTCTCGAGTGCACGGGTGCGCGCGCGCGCGCGCATAAAATCTTTTTATGCGGTGGAATAATGTGCTCGCAATTACGAGTCGTGAACTCGCATGCCTGTTCGAGAACTGTGTCGCAAATTTTGCGATTACAAGCGCCGATAAGCGCGTAGCTTGCAACAACGCGAGCCATCTGGAACAAGACCTCTCGCATATTTTCATGGAAAGCAGCACCTTGCCGAATACTACCTATATAACACTTGTCGAACATACAATCTCGACACGGAAGAAAGCCGCTACCGTGAATTCTGGTAGTGGTTTTCCGTGTACAGACCAACAAAGATAGAGAATATTCCGACTCGTCAATTATCGTCTGACCCGCGAACAAATACCGTACCTTTATCGACGCAAACAATAGTGCGCTCTTCCATAAATATCGAAGTACATTTGATGTGGCGCTGAAGATAAAATGCGTGATCGTCGGAATAAGAAATGCTAAGATGCGACATTTTCTTTTCCAGGTGGTATTATCAACGTGATGTCCACAGGATTATTCTCGCTCGTGCTGCTCCTTGCTTCTTGTGATATTTTTTAAATTGAAGTAAATTTGCCCAGGACGAAAGATATTTTGTAATAAGACAAAGTATGCCCATAATTCTCTATAATGTCGAGCGTAATGTGATCGTTTTCGTCATTGAAGATTGTTTAAAAATTATTAAGTAAAATGATATATAACTTCTCTATAATATAGTACTCGTACATACATTTCAATAAGTTGATCGTAACCAACAAGTTCGTCAGAGAAACCGATATCGTATGGACTAATGTAGAGAAAAAGGTAAAATTAAAACCGAAGGTGGTCGCAGGAGAAATTAACCCTTTGGGTACATTTGACGGCTGATACTCGTCATTCGCATGTTTTGGCGTAGTAACAATTGACGACAATCCGACTCTTCTTCTTTTATTTATTATTATTGTTTTGTAATTCTTATATACTAACTTGCATCTTGTTTAAACTATGTATATAACTGAAATAAATAAATCTTTTCGTAAAATGTATTACATTTACATACGAGTCCATACAGCAACAAATTAAATACGTTTCGTACGTAAAGAAATCGTTAAATAAATCGGTACCCAAAGGGTTAAAGAAGCGCGAAGAACGCGCGAGGCGAGGAATATCCTTCTCGCACGATATCGGATCGACCGGAGCGCTTCGACCGTATTTTCTAGTTCATTAATCGGGGTCGCGGTAATTCGTGGCCAGGTCCATTACCGATTCGCGGTTGCGTTCTAGCATGCCTCAGCGCACTCACGCGCTTGCGATTACGGGCAGACGAAAAATGAGGCTATGTGCGGCCGGCGTGTGATTTGAATGCCGCCATTTCCGACCGTAGAGATTGATTAAGGGAAAAGTGCGTACTTAGGGTGTGATAAGGGGACCGAATAGTCGACACGCGAGCCGCTCGCCCGCCGTGCTCATTACGAGGGTTTTTACTCTGAGCGAGCAACGCTCTTAGGGCGAGCTTTTGATGACGTCGCCGTAGGATCCGTAGGATCCAAGTCACGATGACGTCATGTAACAAAGAGGGAGAGAGGTCAAGGCGTGCTACTTATACCGCCAGGTATATATCCTTCGCACGATCGACCAGGCGAACGTTGGGTTCTTATCTCGGACTACCCTAGACATCGCACCATAAAGGGAAATAAACAGTTTATTGTCGGAGTATCGCGAGCGGGACGATTCGCGATATTTCACTGACTTCCTCTGCTGGTGGATTTAATGGGACTCAACGTAGGCCCGGCTGAGAGTACTCGACGGCGGCGGCGCGAAGATTAAGGTGGAAGCACCGCGAGAACTTCAGGAGGACTTTCAACTTGAATTTATCATGTCTCGGAATTAGGCTTTCACCTTTGCTCTCGAGATAAGGTGTGATTTATCTAGTAAAAAGAGCCCTTTCTTCCCTCAAAATCTGATACGTTCCACGCTCATGTGTGCTGCTCATGGCTGTTGTTTCCTCCCATCGCTGCATACGAGCTCGCCTGCTCGGCCGAGTGCTCGAAATTGGATATTGGACTCGACGATCTAATCGTCTCGCGTTTTCAGCTCCGATACGCGTTCGTCAAGAACGTAGGCCGCCATGCCGAGCACGTTCCATGTGTAATTTGTCCAATCTGAGCGTCAATCTCAATTCACAGTCCCATCATCGAGCGGCCACAGGGTGGCCGTGCTTGCCCCGGAGTCGTTTTCGAGTCGTGCAGCTTAGGCTAATTTCTGCGGCCTATTCGACGTCGTCGCGCATATAGTTACACCGGAACATTACATTACGCCGATCTCGGCCGGCGGGCAGATACGGGCTACTCATTATATTGACGTTATTAGGAATTAACGTCCTCTTATCAACGATCTCCAGGTCGGCGATTACCAGCGAAGGTGAAGTTCTCGCGCCACTCGGCTGACTAACTCGCGGGCTTTGCTGCTCGTCCGATGGAAATCAACTGGATGGAAGTTGACACCTAACAGCCCTAATTCGTCGGTGTATGACGAAAGATATTAGTCGAATGAAAATGTCACGGACGAAGTTAGATATCACGGAATGTGGATCTCAGACGATCACGCGCGCGGCCGTCGGGTCGTTTGTTCCGCGGGCGACGACGGGCGAAGGGGTACATTTACACGCTCGGGACATGCTCGAGATACAATTAGTTATGTAATTGCTGCCGGGGATTTGTCAGTTGTGTCAATCGATCACAGCGATGCACCGCACGGACGAAGACAGTGATCGTGAAACCTACCTGCACGCATTATGGCGACCGTGCACCGGCGAATTTGCCGCATTGCGTACGCAATGCGCTTGTTTACCTCTGATCGAGTCGCAGAATTAATATCTGAAATTTCTTCCCGAGCCCGTCAGTACCTACAAGCTACGTTATCGATGTTAAATACCAAAGTCAACAAGATTCAGGAAATGTGCCGATATCGTTAACACCAGCCGATATGTTTATCGCGCATCGAACGTGTTTAACACGTTCTTTCATGTTCAAATTAATCTAATCACTCTATAGCGGTCAGATGAAATCCAGGACCGGCCAGCCACCTGTAGCGCTGGAAGCGTCTTTTGCAAGTGAGCGTGTAGTCCGTGTACACAAACGTGAATACTTGAAAATATCAAATATATATATATATATATATATATATATCGGGCGTCATGTACGAATTCTTACGGGAATTAATCATCCGCGTCCGCAAGATAGCGTAGTATCGCATGTTATCTGGCTGTGATCGGCAATCTCGATATCGGGTACGCCGAATGCTTCTTTATCAACTGAACGAACGTCCGTTCGTTTATCCGTTATTTGTGAGCGGACGGGGTAACAAAGAGATGCGAAAGGTCACACGCCAACCAGATGGACAGCCGATAGAGGCCCGACCTGGCTTCTTTCTTCGTGAAATGGGTCAGAGCTCGCGCTCACGCGGATAGGAAGTGACGCCACGAAGAACACGAACACGAAATTCGAGTCTTTACACATGTTGAGCCATGTTGCGTTCGAAGCTTTCACTTGGAAATCCTCGTACTAGTTGCTATTCGGCGAATTCTGATCTGCACTCGGACAGCCTAACGTTGGAAATATGGCTGCGAAAGTATAATTCACGCGTAGAATAATTATCTGCGAGTAATTATGATTCCAGATAATCCCAACGGAATAGAGTTAAAAAAAGCAGCACGAGAAGAGCGATGAAAAACGTCTTGCACTCTTCGTGCACTTCTCGAATTTTTAATTCACGCCCTAGCAGCTGCGTCGTCTCTTACGTTGACTTGATTGCTCCGACGTCATCATTTTTAATGCATCCAACATAATTTTATTAACAAGTCAGGCCGACTTGTAAAGATATGATTTATAATTCATAAATCAGCCGCAACTTCTTTCCTTAGTCTCGTCGGCTCTGGGAAACGATCGAAGGGTGCGCAACCATATCCGTCGCGGTCCTCGGTGCCGTAGTGGGACGTTGAAAAAGTCCGTGCAAAGCCGACGCTGAGGTCATGACTCGCAGTTAATCAGCTCGCGTTTCTTGCACAGCGAAATGTTTCCGCGACACACGCAAATAAGCGTCGGCGGGCAACAAAGAAAGAAAGAAAGAAAGAAAGAAAGAAAGAAAGAAGAAAGAAAGAAAGAACGAAAGAACGAACGAACGAACGAACGAACGAACGAATGGAGATCTGATACTGCGGCCTGTGTCGCACCGTAATTCCAGGCCGACCCGCTCGGCCGATCTAGGACGCTGCGAAGAAAGTTTCGTGCCTGATATCGCCCGGCATGCCCGTGACGAAAGTCGCGCCGACTTGCGAAAAACGACAACGGCGCTGAGACATTCGAGGGGGTTAATCCCGTACGATCTCCCCAGGTGCAAATTGCGGCCACCGCCACGTGCCGCGCGTTCTCGCCGGAGGCTCCGTAGATTCTCGTGCGCGACTTCGCGCACGCTCGCGCACGCTCACGTCTTGAAACGGGAACGCGGAACGAGCTTGTGTCCGGGGCTTGTGTGTCGCAACGATTTCCTGGCGGCCGCGTATACATATCGGATCGCGTGTACGGCATTACCCGCCCTTATGTGTCTTGCGTTATACGGTAGCAGCGGAGGTCAAGGTCGAGACCGACCACCAGACGCGAAACTACGCAACGATCCATCGGACGGAGGGAAGTCGACGTCGGGACCTCCCCGAAATCCCCCATGTCAGGCCTCTCGATGTGAAGCCCGAGCACCTGTGTCGCAATTATCGGCTTCGATCACCCGTTTTGTTTGTTGGAAAAACGCCACGTTGTGCAACAACGTCTCACTTCTCGTTGCTCTCTCTCTCTCTCTCTCTATTTCTTTAGCCAAGCTTCACAGCTCGCTGTATCTGGCGACATTGTCGAAATACGAGAACGAGTTATCGTGATATAGTTTGCAGTCGCGATGAGCAGTCGAATGAGCGCGCAACAATCGTCTCGTATCCGCGCCAGACGTGCTACTTGACGCGAGTAACATTGGGATTCGACTGTTATTAAATATAAATATTAATACACGATCTCGCGATTAAATTGGCTTCGCGTTAATAACGCCGTTAATATCGGCGGCACGGCCAGAAGCGCGGACGCTTGTGTTTTAAGTGTTCGTTAAACACTTGCGCACTTGCGTCCTATCAGATTTAAGCGGGACTGCCGCAAAATGTGACGTCTGATTTTATCTGTGGAATAAGTGTTTTTTAACGCGCATGCCCGACATCATCCCGTATTTATATATGGCAGTTGCGCATTTTATTTTTACGCTTCCTGAAAAACTACGCCCGACCCCGGCGATTCTTATTTAAATGAAATTTTGCATGCCGGCGGCACAGCGCCGGACTCGTTCTCTTGAATTTATTAGCATCCCTTTATGACGAGGGGAAAAAGATTTATACGCAACAAAAGACACGTGGAAGAATAACACTCCACTCTGACTTCTGCCCGAGTCATTCTCATGCAAACTCGTGATGACCTGATGATGACCTGATGATGACCCGATGGCGAATGATCGCTGGCTCGCGCAATCGGTCCACCTCCTTCGGCATCACTATGTAATATCTATTCGATGCTTTTAAAACGCTCGAGTAATGTCTGCGTTGCGACGAAGTACGAACGACCGCGCGGAGCATTCATGACTGTCATATTTTCCACGAAGACCGATAAAAATCTGTGCATGCATTATCGTAACGCAACTTAAAAATCGCGTAGCTCTGCCAACGTGCATGTTGCATGCGCGCGTTTCGCCTCACGGAAGCGAACGCCAAAGAAGTTCGTGTTGCCATCTACCAAAGCAGCCGCAAACTTTCTCTCTCTTATTGATTTCCGAATAAACTTTACGAAAGCGATTAGCATCACAGAATTTTATTCAATGTATTCCTTAAAATATTCATATCTTTCCGATAGTTCCCGCAGTTATTCCCAACTTGCGAGAATTACTGTCAAATACGAATACACCCTTAGCAATTTATTGTCGATCGTCGACAAACTCGCGGACAAACTCCTCGTGAAAGTGACCGCATATTTTATCCGGAAATTTAATTAGTGCTACGTCAATTTTATACGCGACACTCTCGACATTTCAATCTGATATTAACATCACGTTCAATCAAGATATCGCTGCATTGTATCTTTACATGTTCTGCATAGCCAGGATATTGCATACCACACAAAACTTCTTGCATCCTTGATAACATCTTACTTTGCAGCATGCAGCATATAAGAAAGTCAATTTTGGATGCCGGTCGAACATTTCCTCTCTTCGAAGCTCGAGTACAAGCTCGACTTAACTCATATCGGAAACCATGCGGTTACCGTTTGTTGATATACAGACTATTTCATCTGAAATTTGACTGGCTGAAAACTACTGGCTGAGAATAGTTTCTTCTCTCTTTTCACTTCGGTCTCACTTTTCGAACTCACTTAGCCGTTTTGTTGTCGATCTTATACATCTGCACTTTTGAAAATACGGAAACACAATAGATATTAACTAACTAAATATCTATATAGAGGGAAATAACTGTTCCGTTCAATTTACTGTTATATATTATTACAACCATCTCGCGTGTATCAGTCTCGATAGTCGGTAACCACTGAAAACGCTATGAGGTAATCAGCTTTCCCTGTGACTCCGACGTTTGGAGAAGGAAAAAATCTTTGAAAATCTCGAAATATTAAAGTCCTTTGAACGATATTGTTATTAAATTCTACGAATCATGTAAATCTCTTTTTTCCAAGATGTCTTGTTATAGCCGTCGCGAAAACCCCCTTTATGAGATAGCACGATGACATACATATTCCCATGTGCGTGCTCGGTCTAAGTAATAACGAGGGCAATCTAATTTAAGCAACAGGGTGCAGGCGATTCGTACACCTACCATAAGCAAGGCTAGTTCCAGCCAAAGGGCGAATCGAGACTGAAGGGCGCGATTCGTTCGTGGGGTTGATGCGTAAAGGGGGAATATACAGCTTACCAGCTGGCGACGGCAGTATCGATCAGTCGCACACGCGTGTATTTCAGCCGCGTCTGGATGTTCGGCGATGATTTCTCTTTGATTATCCGAGAGTCCAGTTTTCCGAGAGAAGACAAAGCGCTAGATCTCTAGCCGTTAGGTAGGATGGTATGTATGACTGACTTCCAAACACAATAGCGTGCATATACGCAAGACGTTTCTTCGAAATATGAAATATTTCGATAGAGCGAGCTTATCAGTTTATTGATTAGTATCACGATCATTTTTGTACGGACGTATGAGGAAGGATATGTTTCATCGCCATATCAGATAATATCGTGATACACTTACTTGGAATTTATATAAATTAAACGAAGTATGACGCCCCTTTCTTCTACGTTAAAAAAAATGTTCTCTATGTTTGAAACACGACAGAGAAAAGCACAATCGCGAATTTAATAGCGAATTTATAAATCTAGTTGGAAAATATATATATATATATATACATATATATATATTAGCGAGATTCTCCCAACGTAATGCACACACGCCATTTCTACATTATATGCCTAATAAATTAATTAATTATCTGATATACCCAGGTATATTTCATCTCTCAATTTCGGAACTGATAATCCAAGAAATTCAAGGAATTCTGCCTCTTGGGTTTTTAGTATTCGCGCACTGTCCCTAATTCCCACATGAGACGCACGACTCACGTTCCACTTTGACATTAAACACAAAGTTATTTTATAAAGTAGCGGTAACCAATGGCGCTATCGATCGGTCGCTCCTGTCTACTTGTGTCAGTGGTGTTTACTCAGACTACTTCCATGATTATTCGATCCCATGAGACGTTTCCCTAGACACGAGCTTCATCTCCATACATTGTATAATCACATATATTATTCCTCACGAACACGACCTATGTCGATGACAAGGAAAAAGGTGCTATATTTTTACGCTACCACCATCAACGACATACATATATTCCATACGTGTCTACGCATCAGGCCACAAATTACCATAAACTCACGAAATAAATTCTACATGGAGAACGTATCATTGACACATTTTTTTCTGTGCTTTTTTGGTAGAAGAACAAGATTTCCTACTTTTTAGAATGGCGACAACCCGCTATCGAACCCGCATGGGCGAACGTGTGCGATCGGTCGAAACGTTAATTGGTGGGCCAAAACATCCTTCGCACTCGCAATCGGAGCTGATTTTATTGGTACACCGACGTCGATCACTCGTGTCGATCACTTGGACGCATGGAAATGCATCGTCAAAAGGTCATACACGACTGACGGCCCATGTTCGCTATTATCGCGTATTCGTAAAATAGGGACTCCAGCTACAAACGGTCGGCGAAAGAAAAAAAAGCGGACGGACGGAAATGGAAGAGGCGTAAGTAGCAACGAAAAAAGGAGCGAGCGAGCCGCTGAGCTGCAATCTGCATGGATTATTGAGTTCAAAAGGCTTAATGCACAAAGACCGAGCCCGAGGCCGCGCACTGACTGTGCGCGGAAAAGTGAGAGCGTTGTCACGAAAAAGAGAGAAGAGAACGAGAGCGCGTCGCGGAAGCAGAAACGAAAGAACGCGCGTTAACCCTTGAACTCTTGAGCCCTCGGATTCAACTTCGAAGACAATGTGAGCACATTGTCGCGCGAAGATCGATCGCCGGAAGTGACGGCGGGTGTGTTCCGTTCGTGGTAACGTCCGCTTTTACTTCGCTCCTACAATACGAACGACGTCGCTCGCGATAAGAAAAGGAGAGAGAGAGAGAGAGAGAGAGAGAGAGAGAGAGAGAGAGAGAGAGAAGAGAGATTAACGGGTCGCGCGATCGTTGCATATTCAGAAATGTCGTTCTTATATCATTCTGTCCGCACTGAGCCATTCAATCACAGCTGTCCGCGGTATAAATCGTACAGCGACGCGCGTACTCCGCGCGTGACGTTTATTGTTAGATGTATTCCGCATGGACTACCTAACAGCTGCATTTATTAAGTCTGCATGCGCGTATGCGAAGAGGAATTTTAAAAAGTTGAAATTACGAGGTTGACGTGAAGAGAACTAATAGTGCACAGAGCGCACAGTCGTGTTAATTATGTCGTCCACAAGACTATTTTAACACGGATGAGGGTGAAGCGATGAGAGAAATATGCGAAGTGAAATGCGTAATATTAGCTGAAAATTAATTATTTTCTCGCGCATATACAAAAGTATAATTGTCACACGTATGAATATAATCGGATGTTGTACAACGCGAAAATAATATTTGTATCTTCGTCGAAATTTTCACAAACTGCACACACACACACACACACACGTACGTCGCACATATGTGCACGCTCGCACACGCTGTAAAGAACCTTACCGCAAAAATTCCAAATTGCTTTGTTCTAATGTATCGTATTTTTCCTGCACATCAAGCACATTTTCATCTGTTTCCGGTGCGGTCGCATGCGCGCGTCAGATAGGTTGGGCGTAAACCATACAGCATGCCTCATGGGACTTGCAATTCCCAAATGCAATTCTCCGTATTTTACTTTAGCATATGAAAGGGATACCGCGAACGAATGCGAAGTGACTCATTTTACAATACATTATATTTTGCCGAATGAAAGAAATGAAAATAGACTGAAGTAAAGTTTAGTTAAATACTGCATTATACAATCCGAAATGAACATTCTTCGACCAGTCCTTTTGAAAAATTTTCTCTTCAATCATAGGTGCGTAACAAATCTAAATGGTGCAAAAAGTAGTAAAAAATAAGTAATCTGAAATTAAGATAATCTTCCAGAAGGTCTTTCAATTTTTATCTGAGATCTTTTGTCAGATTTTTAGTTACAATCAGGAACATTCGTAAAATATTAAAATTCTTTAATGTATATTTCAACAAGCACCTTGCTCGTGTGTTAATACAACAGTCGTTTACGATACGGCATAATTATAAGCCGTTATACCTGTGGCAAATCAACCGCTATTCCTTCTGTGGATGACGTAATTTTTAATGGTACGATTTTATCATAATGGCTAATATTCTGCCGTCGACGATTCGGTAAAACGATTAAGTTAGTATCTCAGGAGCGTCAAAGTGCGAGAGATTGCCTTTCAATCCATTCACCTTGAAATCTATTCTACGAATTCTGACAACTCCAACGAACCGTATTTCAATATCTCGAAAGACTTTGCTGCAAGAAATATTTACAATATTTCCGGAAAAACACAAATATATTTATCAAGACTAAAATTTTTATTTTTATCATTCATTATTTGTCAAATATACAAGGTATACATTTTCTCATCGCAAATTTACTTTTAAAGAAGCTGTCTCTTCTTCTCAATTAATAATCGTTGCGCTTTAGCGTTTCATTGAGATGGATGAGTATCTTCATTAATATAATAAGCCCACACAATGATTCGGTTTTGATATCTGGTCAATTACATCTAAACATCTAAATCATATCAAATGTGATTAAATATAAACATCAAGTTTTATTATTTAATATAAATTAATATTATTTAATATAAACATCAAGATGTCATTTAAAATTTTATTTAAATTGCAGTGATTATTTAAAATTGCCAATTATACCGCTGTCTGATTTGTTAATAGAAAATAATTTATATAATACATAGCATGTGTGTGTACAAGCACTCACGTTTCTCTCCATTTTTTTTTTACGTTGACGATACCAACGATCTTGTCGACATACATTTTTTCACTTCAATGTCCCATATGATCACTTTCTTCTGGCTTAGGTTTGTAAGTGAGGAAGAATGTTAGACACCAAATGCAAAAGAGTAACAGCAGTAGGAACCACGTCGAGGCACTGAACTTGTCCCATCCAAAAATAATTTGGCGAACCGAAAGGCATTGTCGCATACGATCGTTGGATCCCGAGCAACAAATAGCTGCGCAACTCCGATTATCCGCCATCGTGTGTTTAACTCTTATTATATCGCTGATCGACGTCGAATGGCGAATTATTCGACCAGACGATCCATCTACTCTGATTGATACAACGAATCAAGGAAACACACGGTGCTCCACACAGAAAGAACAGATTAGATAACGAATATTGATACTCAATTGCTCGAGACTGCGGAAATCTATCTACAAAGTCTCTCTCGTATTCTTATCTGCTAAAACACACAGTAAGTATTATACTTTCCTCGAGTCATTACTCGGTACTCGGTCTGTTCGCGAAACTGCATCGAGCAACCAGGAAGAAAATAAAATTTCACGTTGGTGTATACGTAAAGCAGCGGCAAGGAGGCAACGCTGCGTGTATTGTTAACTTGTTTCGCCCGCTTCGAACAGAAGTGAGCCGATTGTCTTGACCTATTACACACTAATCTGTCATACAGTCTTATTATAGTCGTTCTTACAATAATATATTATATTTACGAGCAACATTCCGTATTTTCGTTACTAGATTTTTCCCACGCGAATAACCAATATCCGAGAGCTGTCCCGGCACCGATAGCGATGCAGAGCCAATAGTTGTACGTCATAAAAATAAACATGAGAAAATAGCCGAGCACCACCTGGATCACGTGCAGGAGCGTTTGAAAGAGATGAAGCCCGGAGAACAGTAGTGCGCTACAACGATAAAGGTCTCGCGGTGAATTAAAATTGCGACAGCGCGACGGAACTAGTCGGATAACAATGCTCTCGTACGTACTGTCTCGATTTAGCGTGCTGGTTTCTCCTGAGGAAGGTAGTGCGCGAGTAAAGATACTCTCTGCAATCCACGAGCACAGTAAATGACTGGTAGCTGGCCAGAGAAAGCCTTACGTTAGCCTTACACCGATACTCACCGATAAGACTTCAGCCCTTCGTACAACGCGGTTAGAAGAACGACACCGACCACGGAGCCGATCATTCCCTGCGTATTATCGATACGCCAGCCGTGAAACAGTATAGTTTCCGTGACGCCGCCGTGGAATGACATCTGCGGAGTGCGATCAGCGAACAGTTACGAACGGAACGAGGATAAACGCGAAACGCAAATTCCGCGTGGGATCATCAACACTTACGCTGTGCATCTTGGCTTGGAGTATCGCTGTCAGGTAGTTTCACGCAAGCCAACGCTCACAATTGTGAGGACGTTGCACGAGATATTTACGATCGCTTGATCACCGTCTGTCTTTATCGTATTTTAGATAACGTATCAGTGTAGTTATCTCACGCGTACAAAGAAAGGTAAGATATAAGTAACTAGGTAGTGAGCAAGTAACTAGGCTTACTTGGCTTATTATATAGCCTACTTTTAACTATCAATCGTAAATCACACTTGTCTAGTGTGATACTATATATATTTATAGGTCTTGAAATAAGTCTCAATAATTCAGTGTTAGACACACACGACGCTATGAAAGAAAAGGTCAGATGAATTGCATTTTTAAACTAGCGCGCAAACAGTATCCATTCTTGCAGAAATTGCATAACAAAGCTTGTTTATTTTCCGGCGCATCTAATAATAGCACGCTGTGTGTGTAGCCAGCGACGTTTCATATAATATAACACAGCGCATGGAGGAGAAATTGCGCAGCCCTACGTCGAGGACATCGTAAAAGAGACATGCTATGCATAAATACAGTCGAAAAATTTTATTTGAATTTCCTTTCAGTCTGGCCTTTAAAATATATACGACACGGTCGGTCGGTGTGTCGCGTCGGTTGAAATGAAACGGGTTCGCGTGAGAAATTATATATTAATAGACAGATAAAATATAATATCTCTCTGTTAACCCATGTGTTATCTCATTTTCTACATAAAAATCTTGATATAAAATACCTTTTAGATAAAATCTCGGTGCAAAAGTCGGTTGACATAAAAAATCATTGTCTAATCGCGATCATATATTTTCTCCCCGAACTCGTAAGATGTCTTAGTCTTAGATATGACTAACCAGGGATCGATGAGCGTGACACCTTGTTAGCACATGATATATAATAATAAGTATACATATGTATATAAACATGCGATACATTACATAAATATATTTCTATATTTAGCGATTTTTAAAATCCCATCACAAACAAATTCTCACCAATGTGGCTACGCATGTGCAATGCACTTTAACAACTTTGCATCGCGCACATCGGACAGAATCGACGGATGAATTCGGTACTACGCGCGGCTAAAAGATATCGCGATCGTCGGCAAGCCGAATCCTTCTTTGGTCGCAAAGGTCCGAGAAGAGTTCTAGATATTAAGTAAATCGATTTCTCTCGTTTCTCTCCCTCTTTCTAGCCGGCTTTCTCCACCCCCTCCCCCCCCTCGTTGAGATACACAGCACCATCGCCGGCCGCCGCCGCCGCCGCCGCCAGCACCACCACCACCGCCACCACCGCCACCACCGCCACCACCACCGCCATCGCCTCCACCACCGCCACCATCACCACCACTCTCGCCGGTCGGCGATCAGCCAAGATGCCCGCCGACCTGCGTGAACGAGACGGGCGCAACCTGTGGCTGATCCTGACCGGCGCGCCTCTCTGCGTCCGGAAATTCACCCACGCTCGATCCTTGAAGCGCCTCCGCTGGCATCACCAGTGCCATTCTCACCGCGCTGCCGTTTACACGTAGTCTCTCGTCGAGGACAACCGCGAGCCGCGACGTGCTGATCGTCATCGGACGACGACGGTGATGTGCGCTCGGATGCAGGTGGGGGTCGATGCAACGAGGGACGGAGATCGCGCGCTGAGCGTCGCGAAGCAACCCCCGGGGGTGATGATGAGCATGCCGGCTGGCCGAGTTCTCCCCGCCGTGGTGAAGCTTTAGTCCTGGCGATGCGGCGACCGCGAGCTTAACGCTTCACTCCGCTCCGGCTCAGCTCGGCTCGTTCTCGTGCGAGTGCGACGACGTGCGCGACTACGAGAGAGAGAGAGAGAGAGAGAGAGAGAGAGAGAGAGAGAGAGAGAGAGAGAGAGAGAGAGAGAGGTGCGAATGTTGTTGTCGAGGAAAGCGAGAGCGGCCGGCGCGATTGGGATCGCGTCTAAGACAGTACCGTGTTGGTTGTTGGATGCACGACGCACAAGTTAGTCGCTTGTCAGCGCGATTAGCGACGTTCCGCGATTAGTCGCGATCGACGACGATCGGCGAAAGGTTCCTGCCTCAAGAGCACGGACGTCGAGTACTGCTGATCGATGTTGAGTGCGGCTAAAGAAAGGTGAATGATTTTTCCTTCTCTTTCCATTTTCTCTTTTCTTTCTTCGCGACTCATGCTTGCCCGATGTTAGCGGCAAAGCGCGAGCGACGGTTGTTTTATCGCAATGTGAGGCAAACGTGAAATCTTGTCAATCAATGTGTTGCGCGTTTGAAAAGAAGTTTGAAAAGAAGACAGTACGAATACGAGGGAATAACTGAGTAATTGACGCATGCTCGCAAACACCGAGTCCCGCGTATTTATTTATACGAGATTTGTGTCTCGCTCATCAACGTTTTTCTCACCGGTCGTCTGGACTGGTCTAGACGGGGTCAATATTTCATCGCGAAGTATTCCAGTCGTGTGTCGCACGCTTTTAAATGCGTGTTTGCATTCACGTATGCGGCGTCCAGTAAAATCGAAACGCTCATCCCCCCGTTGCTCATTTGCGTTGGACTGCGTTAGTTTACTTCTCAAGTCTGAAATTTTATGGCAAACAGGGGAAGGAGTCAGTCTTTGATCGAAGAGGTTTAATTGTCGGTGACAAATTTCGCACCGAGGGGGAATGCCACGAAATTAACGCGTTCATTTCTTTCGCAAATACTCGAGTAACGCGACATAACGCGCTTAACGTTCCGTTAAATGCGTTAGAGCGCTCCAGGAGCTACTTGATTCTAAGCTCTTTTCAGGCAAAGTGCAAAACGCGCTATCACCAATAGATCGTGTGAAAGCCGAATGCAAGAATTTCCTGGCACAAGATTTCGCGTAACAGGTCGGGTGAAAGCAGCGACGTCGTCGTGCGCGCTTTTGTAATATCGTCCGTAATACTTGGCATAAATCAGAGGCGTAAACGCTCTTATGTTCTGCAGGCACGCAGGCTTGAGCAGGCCGTGTATATTCATTTACGCCAACAAACGGTCATTCGAATAACCGTTCGTTGGCCGCTCAAATAGACGGAAACTATATATATAGTTCTTCAATGACGCACCCACAGAAAATAATTATATCAAAGAATAGAGAATCTCGAGAGTGAGAACTCGGATAAGAGTAATTTTTTCTTGCGAAAATTACGTTGCATTTGTTATATGCGGGAAAATTATAGTCACGCATAGTGCTTAATTATGTTGCAGATGTAAGTTGCTTGTGGACGTGTACAGCGACCTTTTTGCAAAGAGAAATGTATTATCGTCGTGTTCAAAGCTAATCAACGAGACGAAGTGCGGGATAGAAGGCTGATTAATTACTGTCTATGATCCACAAGAATACACTTCGCCGCGAGAGCTCTTTAACTTGCAATTATTCACGTCGCATCGCGCACAAGGATAGACAAGGCTCGATCGACACATACAAGATAAGAAAACCCCCTTCCATATAGTGACCTGAGAATAGATATTTTCGCATCGAATCGACGCGAAATCACGTATATATATATATATATATATATATATATATATATATATATATCTTATACGAAGAAAGTATTTCTCTCAGGTGTGTAGATCGCATTCACTCGCCGGGCCATCTCACATTCGTTTTTATACGAGATCTCTCTCACACACTGTGACCGAATAACCAAAAATCACTCGTGCCGTCGGACGCAACATATCGCGACACTGGGACCAATGTGCGAATGCCGTCGACCATAAAATGCATCGTGCATGTGCAGGTAGAGACCGTGGCCAAGTAAAGAGAGCCTTAATAGTAACACGGCTATACCGAGAGAATAGCTCGATATAATTTTCGACATGAACATTACACATGGTACAAGAAGGGAGCGATCAATACCATCGTGAACTTATCTAACGATGGCACAAGATTTGCGAGTACCGTGTTTATTTTCTCCAGAGTACAATGTAAAGGGAAGGCCAACTAGAAGACGCCGATGCTCGCTCATGCTGATAATTTCAATCATGAGACATGTGACTTGACAAGCAGAACGCTTCGAGAAAGAAATGAAGTAACGGAGAGTCACGCTTTGGAAAAAGAAAGAACGAATATCGGTCGTTCACACATAGTTCCGAATTTGTCGAATAAAAGACAAAACGGAATAGAAGCGAAGAAAGAAGAGTATATAAGTACAATGACTGATGAGGAAGTAGAGTTACAATTCATCAGAAGCGGTTCTAGGCCTTCTTCTCGGGATCCTTCTCAGATTCCTTCCAGGCAGTCCTTGTCGGAACAAGAGCAAAAGATACGGATACCAAAACAGCCACCTCAAGGTATGCATTAATAAGAATTACTTTGTGAGAAGCTTTGTCGCATGTGTGTATATATGTATGTTACGCGTATATGTAATCTACTCGCACAAGACTAAAGATAAAAGCTTTAGAGAATCAGATGACCACATTTCAGAGTCGAATGTCAGAGTGACGAATTGATTTGAATACAGTCCAAAATGCTTGCCGTCGTACGCGACGGTCAATCGACGAGGAAATATTTCCTCGTGAGAAGACAAATGAGAAATATGGAAGAAATTGTGTTGTACTGACTTGTTTTAGTAAGTTTCGCTTACTTAGAATTATTATAAAAATCTGCGAAACACTTTAAATTTTCATCAGTCTGTACTTTGCGTTTCTTCATCAAATCGGAACCACGCGACGTAGATACCCTTTGCTACTACTAGCGTGTTCGTGTACGAATTCGCTTATATTCAAATTGTTTGCGAATTTATACCCTTCGTGACTTACACTCGTGACACGAATTTAACTTCAAGAGAAATCTAAAGATAGATGTTAGCTCTGACGGAGGGAAATTGTTGGATTCGTAGCCTTTGTGTAGGGAGCAGTTCGATACTTGGTAAAATAAACATGACAACATGATACTGCCATATGTATTCATACAAAAAGATATAAATAAAATATATAAATAGAATATATAAATATAAATATAAAGATAAATGGAAACACGCATATATAAATATAAATATAAATAAAATATACAAATCTATTGTAATAATATATAATAACAAATAAATTCGTTAACTCGCGTTTTGAATTAATAAATATACACGAACGACTTTATAACCGGATAGAAGAATTACACGCGAAATATTTTTCGACTCGTACTCGTGGTTATAACTGAACATTATCCTCGCGACGTAAACTACTCATTAATCTATTAATCTATTTTATTAGCCTATCAATCACGATGCTTTATACGTATATTTTCAAGTTGAATACATTTTTTTACTTCTTCCTTCGTTTATTACCTCCGTGTTTAATTAATTATGGAAAGACCGACAGCGAGCGTCTGAGAACCAAATCGGTTGGAAGAAAGGTCGACTTTTAATTCCGGTCCTTTCGGCTCATGTAACTTCGATGGACGCCTCACAGTCGGAAGGCACATGAATGTTTTAATATGTTTCCGGGTCCGGGTCGAGACACGTTCGACTGCCACGAAATATATTTTGAAACGACGCTCCAACTCACTGCGAAATATCTGAATAATTTATGTCGTACAACGCGCGCCTATCCTTTTCGTGGTTGAAAGAGACCAACCGAAACAGCAGCGACATAACGTACGGGGTCACAAGTTCAAAAGTTCAGCCGTTTATAAACTCCTCTTTCTCATCGATATCTGTCGGTCTGGAATTAGTCTGCATACTGTTACCTCCTAAATTTTTGTCAAATCCGTAGAATCGTATTATCTGGTAGTCAGATAACCTAAGCGATAAGCGATAAGCGATAAGTATATTTATAAAAGTTGCATCAACACATTCGCAGAGAAATTGTATACAAAAGAATTATGATATTGCGTCTTATGAAATAATTTGGTCTTTTAATTAAATTGAAATAATTCGTTCGGGTAATATTTTTTCAATTAAACGTACTTTCCCCGCGATATATGAACCCTCTGAACTTCTTTGCAAAAGCGATATATTTTATTGCTGCTCCCGCTTATTGGGCTTATCGGGCTCTTTTGGCTCTATACGCTGTACGAAAGTACCATGAATTTATGGGACTTTTCAAGTGAACGGAGTAAGTCACGAAGTGCGCGCAGAATAAATCGCAGATAAAGAAGCTGTTCCATCGACCACTTGAAATCCTCCTGGATTTGAAATTCTAATGAAAATTTAATTGCAAACGGAGCTCTCATTAGAGCAGTCTTTTTCATCGCGAGCGATATTTCGGTAGAACGAACCAATATAAGCGCCGACAGACAGAGGCAAAGAGAAAATCGATACGACATCCTTGTAAAGAACTGCGATCCACTCGCAACTCGCCCCCCGATTCCCGATCTCGAAAGGGTCAGATTTCGTGCGAGATACAACCATGTACATTTACGCCTTGCCTGTAAACCGCAAACCTCCTCTACCACGTGCGCGGTGTCACGGACTAGCTCTAACGACAAACGATAGCAAACAGGGAGAGCTGCCTTATCTCGATTCTTTTGAAAATTGGCATCTTCGCGACAAACGCTGGGGAGAATCAGGAGAGAATGGGAGGAAATCCCTTGCCACGCAGATTCCTCTGTCACTCTTTTAATTACGTATCTCAAATCTTTCTTCTCAGCAAATCTGTAAATTCTGCCGATATCAAGACAATCGCAATTGTTCCGATCCGTACGAGCAAATTCGTTCCCACCGCTCGAATATAATACCATAAGCAAGTCCTCGCATCAGACCGGAGGTGTATTAACCGGCGCGAATCCGCAGGATCGAGCGGGTTTAAGCCGAAAAAGCGTACACCCGCAGCATAGTCCACGGTTGGCTACCCTCGCGGCTGATACAAATGTCACGGTGGGCCACCGGCCGGACGGGGTTGCAAAACGTGGATCAGGGATGGCGCCACCGTGACAGCAACCACCCCTAACTGAAGGCGAAGCCTTCAGCCAAACCACCCCCGTAAAGCAGTCCGCCACCGGGGGGTTTGGACAGCCGCCATTTCTACCTAACTCCGCAGTAGCTATATCCCACGCTTTAATGCCAATGAAATGTCAAGGCACGTCGCGCGTTATAGACCCGCCGACGGTGTCGGACTGCTCGGCTCGAGTTTGACAAGCTCGCGGATCGTCGCGTACTGGCGGTTCCTCGCGGTGGGGTGGATCGCGGTTGCGATCCCGGCAGTGGTGTCGCACGGAGTTCTGCTCGCGATTGTGCTCGGAGGGTCAGGAACGCCCGCGTCATACACGGCTTGGCTCAGCCACGCCGATTAACTGGCACACACACACACACACACACACACACACACACTCTCCTGCTTGTTCCTGCTGGTGTTGCTTCCTGGATGTCACGCGTTCGCGCGTCCCGCGCGCTATCGATCATCAGCCATCCGGATAGAGCACCGGAGTCTCTGGCCTGTGTTCGCGCGAAGTTGCGTGCTTACGAAACGGCAGAAGACGGCAGGCGACCAACTCGGGCCACGTTGCTCCAATTTCGGCGTGTTGACACGGCGGCGATCGGATTCCCCAGGCTGGCGGACGCTCGGCCGACCCTCTGCCGGTAGTCATTGATGCGGCTTGGATAACCGCGAGCGGTACACGCGAGCCGGTTCTCATTCACCGCGAAACGAGTGCTCGGCTATTGGCGCAACGCCGTCTACCGAAGGCGTTTAGGCTTCACCCTCGTTGACGTACATCCTTAACCTTGACGCACGCGACGGACGGTCCAGCGGCGAAGGTAAAGTCCTCGTCCGAGGCCGAGGAGCGAAGCCACGAGGCGACGATCAAGTGCCACACGAATACTGGCTGAACAGAGAGAGCCCCTCATCAAAGTCGCCTATGCCTCGAAAGACGGTCAGGTAAAAGAACTCGTTCGTCGGAGACCGCCGCCGAATCGGTTCGCGATGAGCGAGCAGGATGTCGATGACGTTGCCTTTCTGACAGGTGAGACCTCCTTAGGAGCGGACGGTAGCTAAGAATTAGGATGCGATGCGAACCCTTAACGCGCCGCCGTTCCTCTCTCTCTCTCTCTCTCTCTCTCTCTCTCTCTCTCGATGTTTAAACGCGACTACTCTCCGCATACGCCGCTTGGACGCGCGTTCGCTGCACTTGGACGATTCCTTTGCCGTAAGAACGGCTCTACCAGATGGCCCACTTACTGGCCCTCCGGGGCTGCGAATAGACTGTACGAGAAACACGTGCGTGCGATCAATAAGAGGAAGGCTCTTCCTCTGATCTTCCGAATTAAAGCGTATGTAGCCGAGAACCGGTTGGTTCTCGCCCACGCGCTTGCATCGATACTGCCCGTTGACGGGTTTTGTTATTGGAGACCCGTTTATTGACAGCGGAAGCAGATACATGTCCGAGGCATGTATACATGTCCGAGGCACGTTGCTAACGTTGCTCTGCGGTTGCGTGTGTATGCATACACCTCGGTGCGGTTCACGCGTGCGACCGCGTGAAGAACCACGTTTGCAGAAGCGGACGTGCCGCTGTATGTGTACATGAAAAAGAAAATATCGCACGCAATCGCTCGCGGAATTTTCAAATGGACGTACTCTGCGTCCGCTGGGGAAACATTACGAGTCTCAAGATCGAATCAAATACTAAGGCTACGACGCATCGATCCCATGGAGTCTTGCGAAGTGTACGCTACTTTCTCGAAGTAAAGAGCACCTTTATAAAAACGAGTCTCTTATCGATCAGTGGTGCTGCTATGCAAAAATGTGTGAAAGTGAAACGCGACCGATGGGGAGAATCACGTGTCGTGATTAACTTATGTATCGATAGTTGTCGTTGAAAGATCTGTAATAAATTAGTGAATAATTTTGGTTGTCTGTAAATCCGGCAAAAACACGATCTCGTCGAGGCGCATTGAATTTTACTGAAGAAATCTTGTATTTCTCAACAGCTAGCGACAGAGATGTAAGGCAAGAGCGGACGCGTAGCTACGAGCGCGATGGGTTCACCATTGTGTGTTCTCGAGGAAGGGCAGTCTGCTTCGTCTTGTCCTGCCTCTTCACGGTCCTAGGCGTTGCGATTATTATTGCCTTCGCCAGGCCAGCAAATGGTACTTAAACATCACTTCAAAACATAATGCCACCATTCTCTTCAACGTCGTATATACTTCATTTCTACATAAGATCACTACAAAGATCACACTTGTCTCGCTTTCTCTTGATCATTTGTTCTCCTTGACATGTTGTTCATTTTTCCAGTCTGCCCTTGCGAGGAGAAAAAGATGGACAGTGCGGAAATAAGTAAAAAAAGCACCTTGCTTCTATCGACCACAAACGAGGTGGGTGCAAATACGAACGCGTCGTCGCGTAAGAATGCAAGACGAGCTTGAAGAAACGTAAATGGTCGCATAAAACTTGCTTATTTTTCGAACGTAGGTTTCGTTACGTGCGATGCCGAAACCGAATAAATTCCTTGATAAATCATTTCTGCGTCGCATATTGCGTCACGGGGCTAGATTCAGTTTCCACTTTGCGGTGAAATAGGTTCGCCTAAAATCAGGCAACTGCACGTACGGTCTAGCGTAGCGGGAAATCAATCACTCCCGTGGACACGAGAGTGTTTACCTATTCATCGGTCATGCATGTTTTATAATACTGAAAATACCACGCCAGATTATCGAATATACAGTGAATATACACTCTTGCAGGTGTTTCCATGGAACAGCATACGATTACCCACATTTGCACATCCTATTAGGTATAATATTTCCATCCATCCGAATCTCACCACCTCGAGAGTTCGAGGTAAGGAGGAGCAGCTCGCTGTTCGAGCGCGAGATAATGCGCGACCCGTTTCCCTTCGCGCGACTAATAAGCTCACTTCGTTCGTTCTTCGTTGCAGGGCAAGTTACAATCGAACTGTATATCGATGAAGACACCAAATATATCGTCTTCCATAGTAGCGGCTTGATAATAACTGAAAAAGTAAGTAACACCAGAAAGAGAGAGCAACGTGCAATCGCGTGAATGTCTCGCTTTCATAATAAACTTCGAGAGAGTGAAATTTCAGATGGTCCAAGAGCAGCGTAAAGCCTCAAAGTTAAAAATCGCCAAGTTTCTGGAGTACCCAGCACGCGAACAGGTGTATCTAGAATTGGAGAGTACTTTCCGCAGGAGAACAAACTACACGTTGCATCTGAGATTCGCCTCGAAGCTGTCCAACGAGCTGGACGGGTTCTATCTCAGCAGCTACAGCACACCCACGGGAGAGACAAGGTCAGCCTGAGACTGCGATTGTTACCTGCAATATAAATATATATAATTTATATATAAATATATAAATTTCGGTTCCAACCGACGCATCAACCGGCCTTGAAGGCCGGTCAGTGTGAATTTTTGATCGACGTCCTGCCTTCGATTTTTAGGCACGTGGCCGCGACTCACTTCGAGCCGACATTCGCACGCACCGCCTTCCCGTGCTTCGACGAGCCGCAATTCAAAGCCAAATTCAAGGTGTCGATATACAGGGACCGATTCCACATCGCGTTATGCAACATGCCCGTGATAAATACCGACGAGGCTGGGTTTTATCTGGGCTCGAGCATCGTAAGTATACACGCGTTTATCGTACGCGTGATCGTACAATTCAACGCGCAATCTTCGCGCAGTCATCGTCATCGTGGTCCATGATTTACCGCAATAACCGCGAGATTATTACCCGGCATTTTCGCTCTACCGTGATCTACCGTGATCGTGAGCGTGATTCAGCACCGCATTATTGCAATTACGGCATTACCTGCGAGAGACCGCATCTGCATTGGCCTGATTTAGAAAAACATTACTCCTCAGCTACGGGACGACTTCCAGGAGTCCGTGGATATGTCGACGTACTTGGTGGCCTTTGTAGTGTGCGATTTTAAACCAGTTACCTCGAAGAACAGGGGAAACATACACGTGTACGTCGCGGAGCACCTGCTTCCGCAGGCGGTGTATGCCGCGGACGCCGCTGCCGATATCATGGCTTACTTTGAATCTTACTTCGGCATATCTTACCCATTGCCAAAGCAAGGTACGTCTTCCTGATGCAAAGAAAAATTGTCCAAAGACTATCCGTCTCGCTTTAGCTAAACAAATAAAACAGACGCGTTAAGCTATCAAAGAGGATGATCGGAAAATTAAAGTCAATATCCTAGCTAAAATATCGCATAATTAATATGATGATGATATAAGAAATATCGATATCATCATTATTATCGTAAAGATCGTCGTGTGTTGTCCGTCAGATCTAATAGCAATTCCCAACTTTGCGTCCGGTGCTATGGAAAATTGGGGCCTAATCACTTTCCGAGAAGTGGCGATACTGCTTGACCCGCAAGAAACGTCTCTCGAAGCGAGGGAGGGCATAGCCGTCACCATAGCCCACGAATTGGCGCACCAATGGTTCGGCAATCTCGTCACGATGAAATGGTGGAACGACATCTGGCTGAACGAAGGAGCGGCCAGTTTCTTCGAGTACAAGGGTGTGCACAGCTTCTCGCCCGAGTGGAACATAATGGACACGTTCATCATCTACAAAACGCAGCCGGCGCTCCGCCTCGACGCTCTGTCCAACAGCCATCCGATAAACGTGTCCGTCGAGGATCCTAGCGAGATAGAGAGTATTTTCGACGAAATCAGCTATTACAAAGGCAGCGCCATTCTCTACATGCTGGAGAGGTTCATGGGCGAAGACGTTTTTAAAACCGGACTAAACGACTATCTGAGTCTACATTCTTACAAAAGCGCAGACACCGACGATCTGTGGGCAGCTTTCTCGAGGAGCATGAACAACACGCACGACATAAAGGTAAGTACGATACGCGAGGAGCTAATTACTTGTATCTCATCTCTTTGCGCCTCACGTCTCACGATATTTACACAACAACGTCAATGCAGGCGGTAATGGGCACTTGGACACAGCAGATGGGCTTTCCGCTTATAATCGTCACTCGCGATGGCGACACGATCAAGTTATCTCAGAAAAGATTCCTCATGACACCGCCGAAAAACGAAACCGAAGCTTTACTGCCCAAATCACCATTCGACTACAGGTGGTACGTCCCGGTGACCTTCTACACAGACAAACAACCGGACGAGATTCGCAAAGTGTGGTTGAACATGACCACTGGTAATACAACAGGACAATTATATAACAATGTATCACGTGTATCCATTGAGTGAAAGAAAGAGAAAGTCGTATTCGTTCGTCACATTTTGCTCTCCCGCGCATTCTGTCTGAGAACCGATGTCTTAAGAGTTGTTGTTGTTCCGTTTAGTCGAGATATGGGACATGTCGCCGTACGAAGTCAAGTACATCAAGTGCAACGTCAACCAAACCGGCTTCTATCGAGTTAACTACACGGAGGAAATGTGGGCGGAGATCATTGATACGTTGCACAAGAATCACACAGTGTTCAGCCCGGCAGATCGGGCAAATCTCATCGACGACGCTTTCACGCTCAACGAGGCTGGTATGCTGGACATCGCGATCCCGTTGAATCTCTCGTCTTACCTTATCTACGAGAGAGACTACGTGCCGTGGCATACCGCGCAAGAGTTCCTGCACTCTTGGAGGAAGAAGCTGTACGAGCATACCGTGTATAAGAAGTTTAGCGCATTCTTCAAATATCTGCTACGGCCGGTCATAAAAGACGTCGGCTGGAGCAACGAAGGACCTCACATGAAAAAGTCAGTATACAACTGCCACACACACACATATTCCCCGGCCGCTGACAAACGATAGCGAGTTATTTTCAATATGTTGTCTTGATTATTTCAACGCAGATTTCTAAGAAATTCGGTGATGAAATCCGCTGTCGCCCTAGGAATGGATAGTCAGTTGCACCCCGCGAAAGGTCTCTTCGACAGGTGGACGATAATGGACACGCTTATCCCGCCCGACATGCGAGACGTCGTTTACGCGACAGGTAGAGAATGGTCATCTAACACGTCATCTGACATTCGAATCGTTCCAAGTAGAAGCGCCGCAGTACGAAGGAGGGTGTTTGCAGGTATCAGATACGGCGGCGAGGAAGCGTGGTCTCGTTGCTGGGATATTTATCAGAAGACAGAAGTGTCCAGTGAGAGACAGATACTGTTGCAAGCCTTGGGAGCGACGACGGACAGCTGGCTGCTTCAACGCTATCTCTTACTGTCGCTGAACCAAGATCTGATCAGAGCGCAAGACATCGGGACCGTCGTATGGTCCGTCGCCTCCAATGAAAACGGCCGTCATCTCGCTTGGCGCCACATCAAAGCCTATTGGCCGAATATCCAGATCCTCTTCGGAAACGTGTCCGTCGCGATGAGTGGACTAATAACCGACGTTGTTCCCTTCTTCAACACGGAATATGATTACCGCGAGGTAGGAAAAGAGAGATGTCTAAAAAGTCAATCGCGCGAACGTGTCCCGTTCAAGAATTACGCCTTCCCTTTCCCCTTCCCCCCCACTCCCCCCACCCACCCACCAGCCCCCCTCCCGACGTTCACCGAACATATAATCTTTTCTTTCTGCACAGATCTCGGAGTTTTTCAAGCACGTCGAGGTTGGCAGCGGTATGCGCACATTGAGACAGAGCTTAGAAAAGATAAAGTCCAACATACAGTGGGTGAAGCGCGACGGAGATTGCATAGACGCAGTGCTCAGCAATATTCCGCAAGATGACGATGACTATAACATGAGATGAAGCTGAAGCATTCGGTCGTTACGGCGCTACGGTTATTTTTTCTACAATTTTTATTCGTACGCAATACTCCGGAAAGGTACGTGATACAGCCTACAAGGAGAAAGGAAAAGAAGAGACGAGGAAGAAGAGCGAAACCTCTGGTATATTAATTCAGGGAGCGAAAAAAGAATCTCACATCCATTATCTAGATGTAAATTCGCAGATCAAAAGACATCTCTATTTCCGTCACTCCCGTTGGGAGACCGTATCTCCATCAAGCGAAGCGTTGACTTTAAAGGACGACGAGGATCCTTGGACGAGGACAAATCGTATTCCCACTTCTCCCCCCCTCCTCTCTCTCTCTCTGTCTCTCCCTCTTCCTTTTCTCTTTCTCTCTCCCTATCTGTACAAAATTCATTATCATAGGTCGCTTGCCAGGAAAGGTCTCTCGACGCACACAGACGAAAAGCCGAACTGTTTGTATGTAATACATTATACACCGATTTATACGCACTTTCGAAAGTATCTATTTATTTAATAAATACGTGCATGCAGTGCGTGCCGATCGGATCATTAAGTGTAAAGAGAGATAACGAGGGCAGACACATCGTTGTTCCTAGGATAGTAGTTGACGTTCGACTAGCAAGGCTAATGACACACGCCTATCGATCCTGAAAGCTTTAGTCTCCCGAGTTCAATGTACTTTATTACAACGAGGAACGACGATAATCACCTCTCTCCACGTGATACGTTTATGCCACATCCCTGGAGTCATTGAGTAAGTTGTCATTTTAACGGAAAGGGCCGAGCTTGCGCGACAAATTCGTCATAGAAGAGAGCGCTAATTACACCGTTTGAAAAATACATGATTAGTGCGTATATCACTTAAACGATAGGTCATTGGTGGCGTTCATAGAGATAATACTGTCGCGATCATGATAATTATAATAACATTAAGATGAGACAATGACATTACATGATAATACATCGTGGTGATGTCATTGCGTGTCGTGATAATATTATTAGCATGATTGCACGAGCGATCGTCCCGCAACCGCGACGTCGGGCAAGATATGTTCGCGAGTGACGAGCGACGGCTTCGAATATGCATTTGTAAATATCATATATTTTATATAGCTGTATACGCTAATATAGGAAATTAGTATATATGATTACTAATCATTTACAAATGCATAAACTGTGATCACAATTAACGAGGACACAATGAGAACTCCACGTTGCTCGTGAACATCTTTCCCCGACACTGTTCCACACAAGTTTAAGTAGCATATCAATATATACGGCAAAGAAGCGTGATACGCTAAATTGCTCGGGTCTGTGCCTGTGTCTCACAAGCACCGTCCAGAGAGAAACGAAATAAGAGACGGCGTTAGAGGACTCGGTCGCAAGGCTACATGGATACATGTCAGATTAATCGTAAACAAAGGAAAAAAAGGGAAAGGAAAGAGAGAAAAGAGATCGATGTGTGTGTGTTGTGTGTGTGTGTGTGTGTATGTGTGTTTGTCGCGTATTCGTGTTTGCTAGAGATCGCTGAAGGCGCGGGATACGTCTCGCGTGGAATTGATTGTTCTCCACGCGAAGTAGCATAAAAATAAAGAGAGAAGTGGATATTTTATTATGAGAAAGTAAATAAAATTTATATAACCTCTCGTGACGCTTTATATAGTGTGTATGTATTAGCGTAAGAGAGAGACGTGTGCCGTGTTCGTTCGACTACTTTATAACGGATCGAGATCGCTGATGTATGTGTGCGTAAAACGCGTCAACGCTGAACTTATCTTAGACCTCGTGTACGTCGTCGTTTCCGAATGTTGCATTTATCCCCGAACACAATAGAAAGAACACAATATCGATAAGTAATAGTCGCGAGCTCTAAAAGCCACGAAGCAACTAAGTTCCCGTTATACTTTGGTACTAATCCGTTTATCGTTTCATCACGATCGTACAGTTAACCGTATGGACAATAAGCGCCCGAAGATGGTGAGATATATTAACGAATACTTGATTATTATATTAAGCGTATTGCGTTACGTACGTTAGTTGTCTCAACGATACGGATTGTTTTAACCTCCTAAGATTAAGGCTTAGAAAATTAGGTGTCCGTCGTGTGCGAATGCGACGCGACACGCGCGTCCACGAAGACGAATAGTTAAAACGTTAAGTACGTAGGATTAGGCGCGAAAGGTCTGCGAAGTGTCTAATAATTATATAGGGAGACCAAAGCCAATTGCGAAACAAGTCCCTGCCCCGACCGACGGAAGGAAGGAAGAGAAAGCAAGAAAAAAAAAAAAGAAAAAAGAGAGAAAAACTTCGAATTGTATCCGCGAACGTTCGTGTGTACGTCCGTTCTATTTTTTACTTTACAAATACTTCTTGTCACTGTCGAAACTCAGCGGTTAGTCGTGTAACTTAGCGTTAAATTCGCATCCTCTCGTGAATATCCAGTTAAAAGTGAAGCACTCGTTAATTAAACGTAACACATTATTCGACGAGCGCGTGGAACGCGACGTGGTGCTTCGATACTTTCTCGCCACGAGACTCTCTACTGCCGTTTAAGCTTGCCATTAACGATACCCCTTGATGGCATTATCTCTTAAATAGTTAAGGCTTATCATTAGCATCCTTCCCTTATTGGATCGCTCTATTTGATCGATAATTTTTGCGCGCGTGTTCGTCGTGTCTGCATGGTTCGCACACCAAGCAAACCAAACGTCACACAGATACAAATGTATACACGCGCGCGTACGCACATAATTTCTCGCACACGGAGAAGAGTCGGTAAATAACGACAGCCGTGAATCCTTCATCGTCCCATTAAGTAGATTTTGATACACTCCAAAAGGCGAATTAACGAATCGACGCACAACTAAAGTAACCTTATGTGTAAATAGCATATTTTTTCACTAACAGGTACTCTTTCCTCTCTCTCTCTCTCTCTCTCTCTCTCTCTCTCTCTCTCTCTCTCTCTCTCTCTCTCTCTCTCTCTCTCTCTCGCTCTTCCTCTCTCTCTCTCTCTCTCTCTCTCTCTCTCTCTCTCTCTCTCTCTCTCTCTCTCTCTCTCTCTCTCTCTCTGGCTCTCTCTCTCCTTCTTATTAAAAAGATAACAAACGAGAAATTGCTTGAGAAATGTTTAGAGAAGCGTCTACTCGCTAAGCCGCGCGAATGCAAACCGATTGGCCTATTTTATGATATTCTTACGGTATCGGAAAGTACTCGTATGAATGTATACGGTGTATTTTCGTCACTTGCATTCGCCGGTCAAAATCTCGCCTGTGCGAGCTTAGGTCTGATTAATGATCGTTAAACAATCTTTAACAGGCACACGTTTTATTGTCCATGTGCATTTTTATTTGATCAGATTTTCGTTAGCCTTGCGCAAGTAATTTGTGAAAATGGATGAACAATTTTCGATTTTATATTTCTTGCCAGGAGGAACTTTTTTCATTATATCAAACCCATTGTACGCGAGATAAAACAGAAACAAAATATTACACCGAAAGACTGGACACCAGAGTAATCACACAAGTACACACCAGAGTACATACTTACGTATTTTACGCAATCACGACAGGATTACGTCTTAAGAGAACAAGGCTGTCTTGCATCTCGTATTTACGAATAAATTATCAACGTAACAGTATATATTGTATACCGTTCTCAACTACATTGTTGTCATAGCTATTTTGTTGTATAAAAAAATACCAGATATATACAAGCATACAAAAATGAATATATTATATGTTTAAAGTACACCAGACGTTTATGTTTTTTCTTTTCTAGATCACTCTGACTTACGAAAAAGAAAATTCCACGAGAAACAAAATGCTACTACGAATGAAGAGAAACGTTACGTATTATTACAAGAAATAAAAAAAAAGTATATATAATAAGAACAAGAGAGAGGAAAAATATATTTAAATTCGTTCCCCTTTTCTGCAGAAATAGCTAAGAAATTTTACCATAATCAACACTTTTAAATAATCAACACTTGTACTTAAGCGTAATATTACAGTTTATTGCAGATTACGCGACAGATTCTTCGTACTTGGGACAAATGTTATTAAAATTTGTCTCATTATGTATATATCGATATAAATACGAACACACACGGAACACGCGTACAGACAGACAGTATTCTCTATCTTGCGGGAACTTTTGTTACCGTTATATCGGTTTTTCGAAGCAGTCGGTAAAATCAACTTTTCACTTACCCGAGAAGGCTTCCGAACTCTCAACAAACTTTAACAATCTCATCAATTATAACCAGTATAATTTCATACATGCTATATATAATGCGGAGAGAAGGTATAGACTTACCGAAGCAGGAAAAGAAGGAAGGATACAAATAGAGTCTCGAAGTATTCGTCTCGTCAACTAAACGCCGATGCATTCATTGTACTTTGCTCATGTATTACTATGTTTACGACAGAGTACCGGTTATGAATATCGCGGAACATTACGGACCGATTAAACGCTCGCTTGATTCGACACTCCCGACACTTGATTATATGCTAGGAATTCGCTGTCAAAGAGTGAAAAGATGCAACGAGCACGGAGCGACCGCGAACCGAACACCGACTACCATGAAATATTAGGTGTACAAATGAATAATCCAAATTATTTTACGCAGTTATGAAATCAATTTTAAATTGAATAGATTTTCCCGCTCTTTTGTGATTATGCAATGTTGACATATAGCTATTAAAAAGAACATATAGTTTGGCGAAAAGCCCAACATAATCTTCAAAAGTATCCAGTTCAGTACAGTCGAAAATGGCAACAGATAAGGTAAGATATCCGACACTGCATTCTTTACGAATTCCGACAAGGAAAAAATGCTGCAAGAGCGTGCGAATCGATTTGTTCCTTTCTCGGCGAAGGTGTTGTATCGTACGATGTGTGCGCATTTTGGTTTAAGCGGTTCAAAAGCGGTAATTTCAGTCTAATCGACGAACAACACCCTCCGAAGTGCGATAATGATGATTTGGAGCAACTGCTCGCTGAGAATTCGGCACAAACACAAAAAGAGCTTGCAGAACAGTTGGGAGTAACGCAGGAAACGATTTCCAAACGCCTACATGAGATGGGAAAGATCCAGAAAGATCCAGAAAGAAGGAAAATGGGTGCCTAACCGCATGAACTCACTGAAACCAACAAAAATCAACGAGTGGCAGCGTGTCTTTCTTTTTTCTCAATAAGCAGAGTCGAAAGCAGCTTTCTTGTGGAAAATCGTCACGGGCGATGAGAAATGGATACTCTATGACAATCCGAAACGCAGAAAGTCATGGGTAAATCCCGGCGAATCATCAAAATCGGTCGCAAAACCCAATCGCTTCGGAAAGAAGGTTCTTCTCTGCATTTGATGGGATATCAAGGGCGTGCTTTATTATGAGTTGTTGGAACCTGGTGAAACAGTTACTGCCCGGACTGCTACCAGCGTCAATTAATCTGCTTGAGCCAAGAATTGGGACGAAAACGCCCGTATATTGGCAAACTGAGAGAACGTCCAGTGAAATTGTTGCATGACAACGCCAGGCCACACATTGCTTCCAATACAAAAGACACCATAATGAAACCATAAAGTCTTGGCTGGGACGTTTTGCAGCACTTGCGGCGTATTCACCAGACATTGCTCCATCCGATTATCACTTGTTCCGGTCGATGCAACACGCCTTGTCCGATATGCACTTGCAATCAGTGAATGAGATCCGAAAATGGCTTGACGACTTTATCGTGTCCAAAGACGTAACATTTTTCCGAGATGGAATTCATCAGCTGCCTGAAAGATGGCTTAAAGTTATAGAAAGCAACGGCGAATACTTTGTTTGAACAATTTAATTTACTTTCTTTTAAAATAAACCTTGAATGTAGCTGAAAAAATTGGATTATTCATTTGTACACCTGATACCATGAAAACGACACGAACCTGTCGCGCGTCGACATTTTTAAACACGGACGGTGCATTCTGATTGGATGGTTGCACCGGGCAATTCGATACTTCGAGAAAGTCAATCATTGCGTTTGTACGTACCTACAATCACAGTTATAGAATAGATCTCGACGTACCGGATGCGTTTGTTATCTCGTCCTATACATTTCGCATGATTTCGCCGAAAGTGAATCTCACGCGGAATTTACCGAGTTGCCGAGTGTGCCGAAAGCGAGCCTCGTGCGGTTGTCATGGTAAAATATCGCCAAATAGTTTCTAAAAACGTACGTCTCGAACGGGTCGAGTGCAACGCAGGAATGCCGAATGAAACGGCGAGCGTCTGTTATGGCGGTTAGATATTCGAATCATTGCGTCTTGCATTCCTGACCCGTCGGCAGGTCAATAAGCATGAGCAGTGCTAAGTGACTGTTGAACATGAACGTCTCGCGAAATCGGTCATAAGAAACGCCGAGTGAGGTATCGCGCGTTCGTCGCGTGTTACTACGACAAGTCGGAGCGGCAGCAGCCGATCGCTCGGGCGAACAGTAAATGGCGCCAACACGGTCCAGGCAATCTACGCGACTCCGAGATGCAATCGTCGTGCCTTTTATCAGTGACTACATCTTATCGTATCTAGAATTACGATCGTAGCATTTATAGGAATGAGCGCGAGAGACTCGTCAAAGTAACCTAATAAGGAACTTAAGAAAGTATCTGCACAGTAGCTGTACGAGCGTCATGGCGACGAGCGCGACACGTCGTCGTGACGTTTTATCGCGGCGGTTTCATAGTCAGCAGCGACGGTTTAACAGGCGGAGCAGATTCGTGACAACACTTCACGTACGAAACGAGAGTACAATGCACGAGCAGATGACGGAGCGTTGCTATTCGCCACAGAAGGAGACGACAGGGAAAAAGTGGAGGCATGTTGCTGAGCATGTAATGGAGGATCTACCGCGGATGCGCTCGATGTCGCCGGATAACGAGCCGTCGCTGACGAAGGTCATGTGCCAGGTGAGTGCGCTGACGATATTCGTACGCGTGCATGCGTAAACTAGCGGATAGATCGTGCAGATTATGCGCGCAGTATGAACGCACGTGCACACACACATACACACACACACACACACGCGCGCGCGCGCATAAAGGCGGCAAAGCGCCTGTGTAAGAAAAGCCGTGTACGCGATTAAACGTGGCAACGGCGCCGCGAGCGGCGTAGCGAGCACATGACACGGGTCAAAGTTTGCAGTCATAAATACAACCGTGAATGACGTATATTGTATACGGAAAAGCGACATGTAGCTGACGCTATGGAAGGAGCAGTCGCCGATGAGCGAATCAAGCGCGCGGGCTTGTCGAGCGACTCTATGAGAAGCCTGTTTTATCGGTAGATGGTCCCTCTGTAAGATAATTACTTTGTAAATTATGTAACTTTCTTCTTTGCTGCTTTGTTGTCGCAACTGAATGGAACGGAGAATATCGGGCCAAATTTTTCTAATCACTCGATTTCTCTCCTTCTTCGCAAAATTTCAATCCGCATTTCGTCCTCCAGAAGAGGGAAATTAACTTACTTAAATTTTGAAAAATTCTGAAAAAACGACGTACGATCCTAAAACAGAGAAGAATGTTGTTTTCAAAGTTGAAGACACGTAGTTGCAGAATTTTTTCGCATATATTTATACATATAATTATATAACTGGTCAAATAACTGGTCGCTATTTTTAATTTACAACATATCAAACGATATCACAAAATTTGACAACGTAGTCAGTGTTAAATATATAATCACGAAGGTATAAATTAACGTCTGTAACGTAGAAGAGCAGAGGAGATTACGTAGCTATTCTTTGTAAGTATACGCGCACGAGATGACACGGCCGCTACTATAATGTATATACGTATTTGTCCGTAATTACGCGAAGAAACTGAACTTTGCATCACTTCGTTTTCTGGTTCGTAATCAGGCCAACGGACGGTGTCTCACGAGCTAATCGAAGTCGCGGGACCGCAGGAACGTATGAAAGCAGTGCACGTGTAGTCTATCCGTTGGATCTAATGCGCGCCTCGCGTTCCGCTATAATACGTCGTACATGTAGAAGGTGTATTTTAATCGGGTAAAGCTGCACGTGTCGGCCTGATGCGTAGGTCGTAAGATTTGCATCAAATTCTGGAAGCGTATTTCTTATCGAATTTCGAGACCGTTTCATGTTCAAAGACTGTTGAAAAACACGATATCTCTTTCCGCGGAATGTTTACATTTTCTTAACATTTTTTTCTCGATAAAACTACGCAAAGCGTTTACGCGAGAATTAACTCTCAGCTACGATGTTGTTTGGTCTTGTTTTCGGTTTACAACTTAGAACGACGACGCAGTTGCGTTTCGATCTAAATTTTCGCGGAAAGAAGCTCGATCCTTCCAAATTCTCTCTAGGGATATATTTTATGCAAGACTGCAATTGCATCAAGGAGTCTACTCTTTCTCTCTCACTTTTTTGCAGACAGTACGTTGGGAAATCAGCACTAATATTTCTTTTCTTTGTCTTTCAAGCAGCAGCGCCTAACTAAGAAACAAAAAGTCCACCGCATTATATACGCACAGATAGCGAATCGCAGTAGCGATCATTATTCGCAGTCGAGACTCGTTATCGACGACGCGATTGATTTCTATGCGCATTTCTATGCGAAATTTCGCATACACCTCGACTACTTTGACCCACTCTTCTCTACCTGTATTACAGTAAACAGCCGATAATCCGAACCATTTGAAGCAACACTTCGTCAAACTACATTCGCGCAAAGTTGTACCACATTCTCCGCGACTCCGCATAATCGCATATTATCGCGAATCATCGCGACGTAAGCGAACACGCATTGACGTATTTGATTTTAATGAGCCACCGCCGACGGAAAGATGCTCGGCCTCTGTCGATCGAAGCACGTACGAAGCGTACGAGAATTTTTACAGTTTTTCATACTTTAACCCACATATATTATCACATTAACGCGCGGCTAACGCAGCACCGCGCGTCAGAAATCGTTATCGCTAGCTAGAGACGATTACGGAATCGATCGGGCAGTGACGAGCGAACAGTAAAGGAAGAAAAAGCGCGAGAAACGATGATAATTATCGGTAACGGCGACGGCGTGGATTGGCGAGCGCGCGTGGAAAACACGACGATGTCGGCGCGGCCCTGGCGAGCGCGCGACGTCGTCAGAACGCGATTGCTGAGTCATATATCGCAAGCGATCTCTCGTGGCAAGGTACGCGTGGCGTTCGCTCGGTCGGTTTCTCCGCGCGTGAACGAGCAGAAGTGTCGTAAGATCGTGGCTCATAGTCGCGCGAAATTGTCGTCGGCGACGATCATGGCATAAGAACGAAGCGCGTCGTCTTCGCCGTAATTCGCTGCCTGTCATTCGCGGCGGTCCGCGAGAGAATCCTTTTAATCGCGATCGAAGTGTCGCACAGAGCGCGGCAATCGTCGAATCGGTAAGAAGACCGTCCGCTCGGACTAGCTGTGTATCAATTTGTGTTTGTATGATTTGTGCGGTGTGTGTACGTTTTTCGTTCGCGTTGCATGCGTGTATACCGAGCGCGAGCGATTCGTCGCTCCTGCTGTGGCTGCCTGGTAGTTCCGCTGTTCGCTCGCAATCGCAGCTGATCCGTGCGAACGGAGCCACGTCTCGACGCGCCCCACGCCGGCCGTTCGCGCGCGCTGTCAGTGCGACGGTAGTGTCCAAGTGCGCCGCCGACGGAACGGAGTCGCGGTCGTTTATTGAGAAGGTGTGCGTGTATGCGTGTGTGTGTGTGCGTATGTGTGTGTGTGTGTATGTGTTGGATCAGCGTGCGTGCATGTGTGTGTGTGACGGGCCTATATTCGAGGTGCACCCTGTAGTTTAATGTGGCTCGTGCGCGGTTTTGAGGTTATTTCGGTACCGCTCTCGTGTAACTGACCTATCTACACCGCTCGGCGGTAAAAGCTGCGTTTCTTTATTTCCACTCCGGCGCTCCGAACGACGGGTCGCGTTCCCGAGTGCTCCTCTGTGCTTCTCGCGCGCGACCAAGGTGAATCAAAGCGGCAGCCGTGCGTTACTCCGGCCTGCCGCGGCAGCAGTGCAACCTAACCTAACTTTGAACAGCGAGGCACCCAGGATCGCTGCTCGTGATTCGTGATGTGCTACATCGCGTGAACACGTTCTATCGTTCTTTTGTTATTCGCGCTCTGTTTCCTCGGAGAGGACTGTTTGTTCCCGTGGGACTGTCTTTGCGCTGCTCGCACGTGAATATCTTGCCGAGCGGCGTGATCTCTTCATGATGTTACAACTATTGTTTGTACTTAACATTGACAGCCAACTACTGTGACAAAACGTCAGTGCCTGTAAGACTGTGTTCTTGTACGTGCTGACTTTTTTATCGGAGCAAAATGTTGTGCATAAAGAAACTATATCGGGAGGAGTTGCTGCAATTGGCACTGCTGCTCTCCTTGCTGCGTGTGGATCCAGAGCATTATCTGGGCCTAGACATTCAGACCATCGGTGTAAGATCCTTGGATCTCAACAATGGATCTGGATGGCACACAGACACTACGATTATCCATCGTCCAATGTATGTGCACCCAAAAAATCCAGATTCCATGCTTCTAAATTATCAGAGGGATCTGTTTGAGGAACTGAACTCGCTAGGAAGATACAATAGAATGAACTCTGGCTTCAATGCCATACACGCTTACCTACTGAATATCGAAGAATCTAATAGAGATGCAGCAGTAGCAGGTCCTAGTGAGTCTATTTCAACGAGTCCAACGAGGAACGTGACATCTCCAGATCAACCAAACTCCACACAAAGCCCTGCAGAGCCAGTCAGCACAGCGGAACTTACTCAAGAGGTACATCATTCAGTTAATCCCAAGTGTAACTGCCAATCTACAAGAACATACACCAGTGTGATAATGCAATGTGCAATATAACATCGTATTATTGAAATTATATTTTTCATGTTCTTAAACACCATTGTTTGTTGTTCAAATTATTACGCAATGTTGAATTTTTTCTACCTCACAAGGTGATGTTGATTGGTGGTGACATCATTCCCTTCACTTTTATTCTATATTATAAATATTGACAGTAACTCATATATTTTAATATTTATATTTTTCTTCGTAGAATATTTATTCCTGACATTTTTTGTATTTACGGTAGTTTATTTATTTAGCTGATCTTCTATTTTAGAAAAGAGGAATATTATAGAGAATTCACTTGTAATATTTGTGGAAATTTATAAACAACGTTTAGAAGGAACGATTATTCTGAGGTGGTAATTACACAAAAATACCAAAAATACCAGAGTATATTTCCAATTACATTTTTCTCATAATATTCCTCCGACACGACACAAAAATAAGTACTCTTGTGACGTAAATCCCGAGCATCGCGTTGCATGCAACAATCGGATTTAAAAATAATGCCAGGCAGTGCGCGCGCGAACGTGAAACGTTATTTTTCTTTGGTCGAAGTGAATGTTTTGAAAAATTAAAAATAACCGCGTTCCGACGCGATCACATTGGAAGGAAAGACCTGTTGAAAGGAAAAAACACACACACACACACAATCGCTCCTTTCTGCAGCAGAGTATCGTGTCATGTAAATGACCTTACGAATCCTTGCAACGACCTTGCTCTCCGTTAAAGTGCTCTTTTGCCTCTCTCTTTGAGATATTAAACTCGTTTGTACATAATTTCAGTCATTAATTAAGATGAAGCTAATTTTTTTGTAGGATCTTACGCACTGTACGTATAACGGAAAATCATCTTTACAGCTATAGTTTGAAGACCGTCGTATTACTCCGCTCTTTATACGCTTCAAGAATATAATTAGTTGGAGATTTGTGAGAGTTTTAGCTTAAAAATATTTGAGAAATTGTGCTAGTTCTTTTACGAGAAAAAGTATCGTTATATAAATGACGACTATAATAGACGTATTAATTTATCTAACTGCATAATTGAATTCAATGAATTTACGAAGAGCGTTCGCGATAGCACCTACTGTTAATCTAGTTGCAAACTGAATTATTATTTCCGTTTGCTGTATATTATGAAAGAACATTAAATAATGCTCATAAAACCTCGCAAAAGCGAATTTTACGAGCGAATATTATAAACAGTGCGGCGCGTACAACAAAATAACGGGTCGATGAGTCACAAACCCACTTTTCTTTGTTGCATCTTGAGAGCGTGACTGCATTCGGTCATCCGCGGGTCGCGCCGGTATTTTTGCGATTTTTTGCCGAGCCCGCGCAAGAATCGGTTCTTTCCTTCTCGGGCTAACGTCCTTGCGCATACAGGCTACCTCTACCGACTAATCTGGGTTAACTAATTACGAATCTGTACCCGTTGGCCTAGCGACAATCGTTTTCATCGCTGGGTTTAAGATCCTTCGATCGCTTTTAATTGCTCGTAATGACACATCGGAATGAATAACTATATGCGTCATACGATAAAGAGAACATCGCGATCGATAACATTGTGCACAATGAAAGGTAATAGATTAATGATGCTCAACTGACGAATACTGTTGATAAATAATATAATTCTCGTAGTATATTATACTTTTTTTTTTTTTATAGAACTATATTTCATCGATGACCTCTCTTTCTTCTTAATTCTACTTTCTTATTCCAAGTTGCTTACACATAATTCCATTTATCTTCTCAAAATAAGCTCTGTGATGTGACTAGAAAGGCGCAAGCTTACACTAGGAAAAATGTATTGTTGCGTGAACCAAAATTTTGTTGTAACAACAAAATAATTTGGTTAAAATATGCCCAACAAAACTGTTTAATTCCTGTAAACAAATACCTTGTTTGATTACGATTTGTTCGTATAACGTAATACTTTTATTATAGCAACCAAAAAGCTTTAACTACATAAATTTTGTTAAAAATACTATGATTTTTTCTTAATATATAAAATCTAAATTTTAGTGCGCAGAAAAATAAAATAGTATCCATTGGGCATTATTTTAGTTTATGTAAAATAATATTTCGTTATTATGTAATTTTTATGGATAAAATAACTAAAATGCTTAATTTTTATATATGAAGTCTAAGAACAAAATCATTTGGTCCAGAGAACAAAGCAGAAAAATATATTTAGTTGAGACAACTAAATATTTTGTTATATAAAACAAGATATTTGGTTGCTATTAAAAAATGTTTCAACTAAACAGTTTGGTTAGAGATACTAAATTTTTTTTCCTAAGTTTTTCCTAAATTTTTTTTAGTGTATAATCGTGACCGCCATGAGAGAAAATATAAATAACTGACGTTTCTAAAATTAGATAATCCTCACGCGCTGATCTATCGCGCTCTAAAGCATATCTGCCAAATGAAAAACCTCCGATACTCTGCACGACAGATTACGCGAGCACAATTAAAGGTGCGATTGATCTGTCTGAAATAGAACGATGTCAACTGGATTTGGTTACTAATAGAATTCTGCAGTCTTTGGTGAGCTAAGGTCACGTGACACTATGATATCACGCGAGAGTATTTTTTTTCTAAAGTAGCTCGCGATAAAAGCCAGCAGGTAGAACTTTTCGTTCGTAACTGTATCAGTAACGACATTGTTGGCATTATTGCTTCATGCAGTCAAACATATGTTTTTGGTTATCTTAGTACTTCAAATATAGCTTAGTTCCAACAACGTTACAATTTTCGGTAGTAAAATTATTCCTGTGTAAAATTATGTAACATGAACTGTAAACGAACAGTTTTGTGATTCTGAAATAAGATTAAAAAGAAGTTTAACAAAACCTATCGCGAGCAATTTTGAGAAATTATCAGCTGCTTAATATTACCTTGAAATGATAATTTTAGTCACTATAATGACGCACGACATTTGGACGCAGAAATGATGCAAGAAATCGGCGTAAACGCGTTATGTCTTAATATAAAGCGATTCTTAACGTGCGAATACGCTTCACTTTAAAACCTGGGATTTCGCGAAACGTGTCCATTTGTTAAATACGAAAGCGTTCTGCAATAAGTTACAGTCTTCGTACTGCAAACATTTATGAAACAAAGTAATTCAGTGCACTGAAAAGTCACGATTAAGATAATGCAGAAAAAAGAAAGAAATATCGAAATTGTAGTTCTGCAGCAAGCAGTTGTATGGCTTCCATTGAACTTGAAATTCCGTGGAATTTTGGCTTTTAAATAAAACAGCTCGTTTTATTATCTTCTGTCGGAGCGGTAAGATTTTCGATAAGGTTTCAGCATCTAAAGGAAGCGGGAAAAGAAGTTGTAAGCCTCGTTAACTAAATCCTGCGTCTTGTATTCGTGTTATCAAGTTCTGGTTATCATCGTTGCTAGACGCTCACTGGTCGGGGAAAAATACGAATCGATCGAAAATGCAATTAGTTAATGATCGGACATTAACTGAACGTGAACCGGTGCTACGAACGACACGATACATTTCGATGCGTATTGCACGTGTAGCTTGATTATTATTTAATAGTTTGACAATTTGACCGCCTCAAAGATTCGAAATATTTGAAGATTATCGATTAACGCAATTTTTCTCAGTTGTCGTGTGTGCTTGTCATTGATAAACAGACGAAGATGGTTTATGACTGACGCGCGAAGAAGAGGCTTTGTCCTTTCATGGGTCGTTTTGATCAATTGTTGTCATTGTGTCTCGAGCCGACGAGCGTCATGAATACATCGTCATGAATATTGACGGATTATTTACGTTTCCCTTCACATGATGAAAATATTTCGTTGATTATTAAAATGTTTACTCGTTGGTATCGCGTTAATTTCTGCGAGCGAATTATGTCGGAATTATAGAGTAGTCAGAATGGAATACTGGTTTCAGAAGCTAAGACACAGGTCGCCGAGACGCGGTCAACAATACATCGTATGCTCTCAGGTGTGGGAAATAATTTTTTATACGTTTGACGTACTTGTCTAAAATAAGGAGACATTTGATTGGAAATTTAGGGTCTACTCTGAGTTCGATATTCGTAATTTAATAGATAATCATAACTTGACGAATTTTGATTTACGTGTCAACTTGTATTTATTTTATGCAAATATATCGATCAAATGATGATTTATGAATAAGAATCGATAATTAATCTCGCGAATGCTGATTCCATCGTGAATTGAAAATTGCAAATTCCATCTTGAGTCTTGTTCCTGTACTAAATCCAAATTTAATTTCTTATTGATGTTTACACAGTTGCTACCTTTGCTTTTATTACGTCTCCGTGTTATATTGAATATGCAGATCGTAGCGCGATTTTCCTAACGTCAATAGAAAAATAATGATGAGAAGCTTGTTTTATCATTATCATTAGTAGAAAAATTATTGTTGTACTTGCGACAGCATATAATGCGTAAAGGCATCATTGGTCTTTTGATGTTAAATGATAGGGACGTATGTTTATAAAATAGAATAAATCACGAGACGTACAGTTACGACGTGTTTTATTTAACACAATATTCGGCTGCTACGTCTGAAAATGCGCGTAAGCGTATTTTCCGTGCATTACCGAGAACTGTTTCTCTCCAAATTAGATGTCTGGCCTCATTCCAATGTGTAGACGAACGACTTTGACTGAATTTATCGGACCTCGGCTTAGGGTGAGACTTCGAAAGGATTAGTATCTAAGTTTATTTCGCCGTAAAAAGGAGGTGGGGATTATCGTCGGGGATTGCATTATCGTTTCGCGATCGTAATTATAAATATCGCGTTAGTAAATCCTTTGTTCGCGCGAACACGCATTTCGACGTAACATTGCCAAAGCTTCCCGTGAGATCGCTACGCGACGGCCTCGATCACAAAAATAATTGTATGTAAATGCGTAGACACGCGCGCGCGTTGTA